ACCACTGAACCACTGAACCACTCCACCAGAATTCAGCCCCAATCGAAAACTTGTAAAACCCACAACGCCTGTTCCTTGCAAACCCGCCCAGCCAAAAAAACAAAAAGCAACAGGGTGAACAACCAGCGGTCAAAAGGCGCGCATTCAAACCCCCGCCTGGAGATGCGACAAAGCCTGGCCCAGGCTCTTGCGGGTGAGGTCGAGGTCCCTGAGCCAACCTCCGTGGACAAAGCTTGGGTTTCCAGCACCACCCCTCACAATGGGGGGGCGGGGGGGGGGGGGGGACTCTACAAATCCTGGTAGATCCTGGTAGGTCCTGACAGAAGTTTGGGAAAGCAGGGGAAACCACATGGCCACGACCCAGAATCTCTGTGAACGTACCAGCCCCGAAGGAGGATTCTACCGTGTCTTTTCATATGGCCGGGCCCTTGGACCGGAATTTTCGGAAGATCATGGGACTTGCCCCATAGGAGATCCACTAGCCCAACACCAGAATCCCAGGCGAAATGGAACATCGGGGTCTACCCTCCGATGCGCCTGGAGTAGGAAGCACACCAAGGGCACATAGCCTGGAACTAACACAATGCACCCGTTCTTCTGGAACCTAACTGAAACCAGTGCAACCCATCTTAACCAAACTGACGGAAAAAGGACACCTGAGTGTGCTGCTGTCCGCGACCGGTTGGTGACGCTTTTGCGTTCCTGTTCAAACCTCTCCAAAAAAGGGAGTGCCGCATTGTAAGAATCAAGCCTTCATCCAAAAGGGCGTTCTGCCAACCAGTTCCCAAAGAGCCTTGTAGAACAAGAGTTTGGAGCACGTTTTGATGTTTGGGGTTGCCCATTTTTAGCAACTCCCAAGCAAGAAGGATCTAGAGGGTGGAATTCACTGACCTGGGGTTAAAGGCCGACGCGTCTGCGCAGTCAGCCGCCGGGGTTCCGGATATCTCCAAGAAGCACCTGCTTCACAAGCGGATCTTCCAAATTCCAGTTCCTGGGGGACATCTTAGAACCAATGCTCAAGCAATTCGAAGCCAGCGCATTGAACGATGTTTGGGCCGTCAAAAGGCGGGGCACTTGGATGAACAGCCCACCCTGGCGCCAGAAATGGGCCCTATGAAGGAATACTGTTCGGCCCCCACACGAACATATACCCGATCGGATTTATCATTAGGGGGAGAGATGAGTGTGTCCAAAGAAGGGGACCCTCAATATGCTGGCTTCCTCTCCAAAACACCCAAGCATAGGTGTCCTTTTGGAAAAATAGATGGCCCTGGCACATGGAAAAACAAACATCTAAACCAGTGCCTTCCATTTTTAACCACACAAACCTAAAAAGGACACCTATGCACCCAAGCGCATCCTAGGACACCCCAGCGGCAGCGCCTCCGTTCTTCTTGCCCGGGGCTTCTCTGCCGCGCCGCACGTGTCGCCACTTCCTGTCTGCGCGCCAGGCTTTGCGCCATTCCTCCTTGACGAGGACACCTCGAGTCGCCCGAAGTCGCGGCCCGGAAGGCAGGGGACCTGGGCTTATGATTTTTCCAGACGCCGTTATTTGACGCCTGATTATGATGTGAATGGAGTTGTTCTTTGGAATGATGTTGGACATGGGTGTCTCAGAGATCCTATGCAATGTAGCCAGCGTTAAAAGGCAAACTCAAAGACAAGACCAGTCGAGTGAGCATCTTCCAACTGGACGCCGCAACAAAAACGACGGCATCCCCAACAACAAACCCGGAACCCCCTCGAACCCTCCAGAACCCGCCCTGAAGGCTGCCCCAAACCACCCCAAAGCCCACCTGCCCAAAGACACAGCTTTCAGAGCCACGGCTTCAGCTCAAGAGGCGAGGCAGCGCTGCCGGCTCCACCACCCCAGACTCCACCAGCTCTGGGACATCGTCCTCCAGACAAACTCGATTCGAACTTGGGGAAATGAGGCCTCTTGGCACTCAGGAGGGTCGGCTTGTCGGGGGCTTGTCGGGGCATGTTCCCATGGAAGGAGCCTCTAGGTCGCCCCCTCCCGCCCCAACCTGTGAGAAACATCAAGCCAGGTGGTCAATCCCCCCCTCAAAAACTGCATGGGCCACGATTGAGAAAAGGCCTGTCTGATCAATGCTGCTTTGCAATCTTACTATAGTTTTACTTCTGCAGAGCTTTGTGTTCGAGCACTCCCGAAAGCAATTAATTCGGAGCCAAACCAGCCGCCTCTTCATTCGCATGCTGCAGGTGGTCCGTTTGTGAGGAGTCTCTTGTCCAGAAGGCCACCCCCAAACAAGATGTCACCAGGCAGGGTCCAACATGAATCACCCTTTCCTGCTACAAGTTGATCAATTGACAGTTCAACCTCCCGTTTCCTCAGGTTTCCTCGTTGGCTCTTTGTTTTGTGTTAAAACAGACAACACCTCGTCCCCAACAAGCAGCCAGTCAATTATGAACCTGAATTTCCCCGCAAAGGAAACCACCAGTTGGATGGTTTATGGGGTCATTCCAATCCCCATTCCCTGCATCTCTCGCACCAGCAAGTTGATGGGTTCCAACAAAGCTGCGTGAGTCTCACAAGCGCCTGCAGGCCGAAGCCATCCACCGCGGCCCAGTGGTGCACCGGCACCTGCCAAGAAGCCAAACCCAACCTCTCGGGCCAAAGGCGTGCCCGCACCAGGCCAGTCCAGTCCAAGTACCTTGCAGCCTGCTCCTTTCTCATGGAAACAAGCTGTTTCGCAGGCCAGGACTAGCTTCTAGGGGACCAGAAAACCATCAGAACCCCAGGGGAAACAGCTGGGTTGTTGAAAAGAACAATAATTGAAAAATGGCAAAGGAATCAACCCCTCGCTTTTTACCCACCACACAATTCCAACGGAGGCCCCTCCTGCAGCCCCAGCTCCTCCACAGACCTCTCTAGCTGCGGCCGCCGGCGCCGGCCGATGAGGTAAACCCCCTTGACGTCTCGCAGCCTCGATTTGCCCGGAGTGGAGTTGCTGGACTTGCAGCCACTCCGGATACTTTGAGTGGACTATATAAATGGAAACCCCACTAAACACTACAAGGCTAAAAAGCTAAGGGGATGGCTGGGAGCCACCAAGGAGAAAAAACAGAAGGGCAGATGCTGGACTCACAGCATCCTGGGCCCGTCCCTTTCCCCACCGCGTCGTTTTTGGGGCCGAATTCTCAATTCTCCAAGCAGTGATGCAAGTAACCCCATACATCCACGCACCCTTGAAGTCTTTGGGTCTTTGGCTTTTCTTGAACTGGGTCTCTGATGTTCCTCCCCATCCCCCAACCTTTGGCCTAGGCTGCCGGCAGCGAGCTGACCGAGCTGAAGCCCCGCAAGAGCATGGCCGAAGCCTCGTGCACACGGTCCATGGGAGTGAAATGGATTGGCTCCCAGGTGCCACGTTCAAATCCACGTGACGAATGGCGGCTGACACGAAGCCTTCCCAACAAATGAGAACCCGTTACAGGCATGCTCCATTTGAGGGACCCAGGTCGGTGAAATGGCACGATCCCCGTTTGGCTTTACACGGAACCCTCCTTAGCACGTCGCCCGGCGCAAGGCACTCAGCTCATGCATCGCACTGGGCACCTCTACCCCTTCGCTCCGCTCGGGTTGCGATCCGGGCGCGTGGCCAAGGCAATTGGAAGGCGGCCTGTCTGGCATCGCTTCCCAGTCCGCCCTTCGGTGTGAACACCTGATCTGCCCCGCCAAACATGAGGACCGCATGTCTTTTTGTTGTTGTGCGATTGAACTGGCAGTACTGATGTACTCAAGTCCGGCCTACACATGCTCAAATGGAAACAGTCAAGTTTCAGCAACCCGCTGCAACACGTCTTCCACATCAAGCTCCAGGCCTGCGCCCGAGCGGACGCTACTCCATGCGACCATCTGCCGAAGGATTCCGTCTCATTCCCCCGGAGACAAGCAACTCCGTTGAATCCTCCAGCTTGTCCAATATTTGTACGTCCTCATTGAATCTTTGTGCCTTCTATTTTTTTTGGGCTGCTGCCTGCACTGCCCACTCAAGGGATTCTTGACTTCGGATCTGCACCTTCTGGCCCCCATTCTTACCTCTGAAGTTGGATACTACAAAAAGATGACTTTCAACCGCCCAAACAAGCAACAAACCTGCAACACACGTCCTTCCTTTGGCTCGAAAGGTCCAAACTTTCTCTTTGCCGAAGGATCTTACCCGAAGGTGCAAAAGTCCAGGTGCTTGGGAAGTGGCTTAAACTTACTTAGTGTTAGATTCATAAAGGGTAGCGAACTAGTAGAAAGTGGTTTATTCTTCTTGCAGGTGTCCAGGTGACTGCCTAAGGTACTGAAATCTGAGATGCTCCAAGGCTTTCCCAAGTGACGGAATAATCCTGACCTCTCACGCGAAGCCAATGGCTGCGAACCCGAGATTGACCTGAGCCTAAAGAGGCCAGCGAAAGCGCGAATGTTTCTCGGAAAAGCGGGGAGCACCCCACAGCCCCATTTTGAGGGGTGCCAGATGCTCGGGATAATCGACTTTACGGCCTGAAAGGCGACATAAGGAAGAACAGATGTTCGATGTTTCCCAAAAATCGGGGATCCCTTTTTGTATGGGTTGAAAGAAATTCCACCCAGTCATAAGCCACCCCCCAAATCGGGGGCCTAGCAACTTGAGCAGAAATGATGCACACCCAATGTGCCATAGCTCAATCAGCATCCTTTGAGCAAATGAGTACTGAGAACCCTGGCGCGCTTGGTTCGCCTCGACTTTAGCCTTCATATTCGCTTTCAGATCCTTATCAAAATTTCACTCCTATGCCAAGCAAACAAGATTCCTAGTGGCCATGGGGAACATGGACACCTTTGCTTTGAAGCCGATTTTCAACAGGCACACCCCCTACTGTGGGTCGCAAAAGCCTGTTCCAATGGGAAAAACAAAAATACAAGCAACTGATGCAGGGATTTTCGTACATCCCCTCCACCAACAAGCTGAAACATGGCGGCACTGGGTGTCTCGCAATCTGGGGATCCCGTCTGACAGCTCATCTCCCGCAGGAGGCTTGCTACATGGCGGCGGGGGCCCATCATGAGCGCCGTGCCGGTGTCCAAGGCCACCTGTCTTTTGGACCGAACGCCAATGGGTAGAGAGCCACCTAGGTCCTCCAGTAGAGAGGATAGAATAAGGGTACCCTTATTTTTCAGTAGTCTATTTTAGCAGGGGAACCCTCCCCCAAAAAAGGGGCAGAAGGGCACTACTGGGGGACCTATAGTCAACAAACGCATCGTGGGGCTGGAAACCCGTGCCCCCGCTTCCCAGAAAATTGATTCGTCCCAAACGGCAAAACAAGAAACATCATGAAGAAAATACATTGACCCGTGTGATGGCCAACGGTCAAAAGGAAAACGGGTCAAAAGCTTTCGGCTGGGCAGGAACACAAGTGTGTCCCCCTTTTGGCCTTGCTTGGAAGGCAGAGCCCACGAACCCGAATGCACATCACTTTGCGCAAACCCAAGAAAAGAATTAGAGAACACATTTTTTGTAAAGACAATGAGGTTTGCGATCAAGTCAACGGCGGAAACTTTTTTTCAGCTTGTAAAACTGTACTTTGCGTACTCGACTTGTTGCTACAAAGTTACGATTTTCGAACTGGAGCTGGACACCTGCACTTTGCGTACTAGACTTGTACTACAAAGTTGCGAGTTTCGAGCTGGAGCTCAAAACCTGTACTTCGCGCACTATACTTGTACTACAAAGTTGCGAATTTCCAGCTAGTGCTGGAAGCCTGCACTTCGCGCAATAGACTTGTACTACAAAGTTGCGAATTTCCAGCTAGTGCTGGAAACCTGCACTTCGCGCAATTGACTTGTACTTCAAAGTTGCGATCGCGTACTATACTTGTGCTACAAAGTTGCGATTTTCGAGCGTGCTTAGACTTGTGCTACAAAGTTGCGATTTTCAATGTGCAGCTGGAAACCGGTACTTCACGCGCCAGACTTGTACTACTACAATTTGAAAGATGGAAGCCTGTACTTCGCGTACTAGACCTACACTACAAAGTTGCGATTCCCCAGCTAGAGCTGGAAGCCTGTACTTTTCTAGACTTGTGCTACAAGTTGAGATTTTCCAGCTGGAGCTGGAAACCGGTACTTCGCGTACTAGACTTGACAAATTTGCAATTTTACAGCTAGTGCTAGAAGCCTGTACTTCGCGTACTAGACTTAACTACAAAGTCGCGATTTCCCAGCTGGAGCTGGAAGCCTGTGCTTCGTGCACTTGCGCTGCAACAGTTGCGATGTTGCAGCTAGAGCTGGAAACCTGTACTTCGCGTACTAGACTTATACTACAAAGTTGAGATTTCCCAGCTGGAGCTGGGAACCGTTTGCGTACTAGACTTGTACTACAAGGTTGTGCTGATTTCCTAGCTAGAGCTGGACTTCGCGTTCTCGACTTGTACTGCAAAGTTGCGATGTTCCAGCTAGAGCTGGAAGCCTGTACTTCGCGCGCTAGACATGCGCAACAAAGCTGCGATTTGCCAGCGCGCACTAGACTTCTGAGCAAAACTTCTGGGCAACACTTTTGACACTTCTGAGCAACACTTTTGAGCGACACCTCTGGTCAAGACTTCTGAATTCTGAACCACACGTTTGCTGATTGACAGTTCTGAGCAACACTTCTGAGCGACACTTTTCTGATCGACACTTCTGAGCAACACTTCTGACCGACACTTCTGAGCAACACTTCTGCTCAACACTTCTGACAACACTTCTGAGGGTTATTTCTGAGCAACACTTCTGATCGACACTTCTGATCGATACTTCTGAGCAAACACTTCTGATCGACACTTCTGAGCAACACTTCTGAGCCACACTTCTGACCCCTACTTCGACACTTCTGATCCACACTTCTGATCGACAGTTCTGAGCAACACTTCTACTTCTGAGCAACACTGCTGAATTGACACTTCTGAGCAACGCTTGAGACTCACACTTCTGCGCGACACTTCCGAGCAACACTTCTGATCGACACTTCTGAGCAACATTCCTGATCTGACGCACACTTCAGAGCAACACTGCTGATTCGACACTGCTGATCGACACCTCTGACCGACACCTCTAACCGACAGTGGTGAGCAACACTTCTGATCGATGCTTCCGATCAGCACTTCCGGGCAACACTTCCGAGCAAACACACACACACACATGTAAGCGCCGCTTGTGAGCAACGCTTCTGAGCCACACCTCTGAACACAGTTCTGGGCAAGATTGAGCGGCAGGTCTGAGCGACACTTCTGAAAAAATTTCTGAGCGACACATCTGAGCCACATTTCACACACACGCATCAGTGAGCGGCACTCCTGAACACATATCTCAGCAACACATCTGAGCGACGTGAGCGGTACCCCTGGGGCCCCTGAGCAACAGTCTTTGAGCACACGTCTGATCGAAACTTCTGAGCGACACTTCCGAGCAACACTTCCGATCGAAGCTTCTGAGCGAGACTTCCAAGCAACACTTCTGATTGACACTTCTGAGCGACACTTCTGAGCAACAGTTTTCATTGACACTTCTGAGCGACACTTTCGAGCGACACTTCTGAGCAACACTTCTGATCGACACTTATGCGCCACTTTTGATCCGCACTGCTGATCGACACTTCTGAGCGACAGCTTTGAGCAACACCTCTGATTGACACTTCTGATCAACACTTCTGATCGACAGTTCTGAACAACAATTCTGAGCAACACTTCTGATACACACTTCTGAGCAACACTTCTGATCGACACTTATGCGCCACTTTTGATCCGCACTGCTGATCGACACTTCTGAGCGACAGCTTTGAGCAACACCTCTGATTGACACTTCTGATCAACACTTCTGATCGACAGTTCTGAACAACAATTCTGAGCAACACTTCTGATACACACTTCTGAGCAACACTTCTGATCGACACTTATGCGCCACTTTTGATCCGCACTGCTGATCGACACTTCTGAGCGACAGCTTTGAGCAACACCTCTGATTGACACTTCTGATCAACACTTCTGACCGACAGTTCTGAACAACAATTCTGAGCAACACTTCTGATACACACTTTTGAGCAACACTTCTGATCGACACTTCTGATCGATACTTCTGCACAACACTTCTGACCGAAAACTCTGAGCAACACTTCTGAGCCACACTTCTGATAGATACTTCTGAGGGACACGTCTGCACAACACTTCTGCTCAACACTTCTAAGCAACACTTCTGTGAACGACACTTCTGATCGATACTTCTGATGGACACTTCTGCGCAACACTTCTGGTCGCCACTTCTGAGCAACACCTCTGATCAACACTTCTGAGCGACACTTCTGATCGACACTTCTGGTAGACACTTCTGCTGACGGACGCTTCTGAGCAACACTTCTGAGAAAGGTCGCTCGACACGTCTCTTGTCTCAACATGTGCGCCGCGCCACGGCGAGAGCGATTCGACTCGTGCAGATGGTTCACTTTCCGTTTTTAAATCTGCACCGCGCCACAGTGAGAGCGGTTCGACCCACCCAAGTGCCCAAAGGGTTCACTTTACTTTGCATTTTCAAAGTGTGCGGCGCCACAGCGAGAGCGATTCGACCCACCCAAAGATCCCAAAGCGCGCAGAGGGTTCACTTTGCATGCACTTTGCATTTTCAAAAAGAGCGGTTCGAACCACCCAAAGTGTGCAGAGGGTTCGCTTTGCATTTTCAAAAAGTGCAACGCGCCACAGCAAGCGACTCGACCCACCCAAAGTGCTGCGCCTGCCACGAAATCAGAATTTGACACCCTCGCGCCGCGCGAGGAAAACTAGCGCGGGACTGTAGCGCCAGAATGATTTCGACCGATTTCTTGCAAATCTGCAGTCGTACGTGAAGCCTCACGAAACACTGCGCCGACGCAGCGAAACGACACGTCGAGCTTGAGAAGCTACGGTTCGCGCACAGGGCCAACGAAAACAGCACAGCACAAGTCGTCAAACTCACGCCTTCTGCGCTTCCCCACTGGGAGAGCCATAGCACAATCATACGAACAGTTTGCGAACGGTTGCAACATCCGGCGAACAAGGCTGAAACGAGAACCCGATGCTACGCCTCTGCATTCCACTTACTGTCGAGTTGTTCGACGCACTGACGAAGTGAATTGGGGTTGGGCTGTGCGTTCCACAGGCCTGCGTTGTTCGTCGAACTTGGGGATACTTCGATTTTGCATGTCAACCCGGAATCGAGAATTCCACTATGGACGTGCTATGCTTAAACATGCACAGCCCATCTCAAAATGAGAGTGCAAGTTGGGGATGCCAATGCCAAGTGTGCAGTGCCAAATGCGCAGTGTTAATTTCCAGTTGTACGCAGACTGCAAAACTCAATTTCAATTTGCATATTTTGTTGAGGTGTCTCACCCATGCGTGATGCTGAACATGATTCCATCACCATTTCGTCACGGCCCAGACTGGTTTCCAAAGGGACGCGGTGGTTTGAGTGGGGGGACTGGCGAGCAAACCAGTTGCCACGTGTTCCTGCTCGCGTGCAAGATGTTGGGTCGATCGCATCTCAGATGCAACTCTTGAACAACAGCGATAATGACAGCGGAAGGTGGAGCATTTGTCCCTGTGGTTTGGACACATTCTCCGTTCTCTTCGCACTGCTTTTCCAATCAGATGGCAATCATTGCTATTCTTGTCCTTGTTTTTTGTTCAATCCAATCGCTGTGGCTACTTAATGGCCTTCAAACTTCAGAGCTTTTCCAATCCATGGTTGGCGAGGCGACTTTTCACTGCATGCCAAGACAACTACCCCCTGTTCATGAGGTATTTTGCCACCACATGGGTGTGGGGGCTTCTTTTTTGGGTATCCCCCCGCGGCAGTTTGAGAACCCATTTCTCCTGCCCGCTGGTCGGAGAATCCGTGCGCCTGACAGCGTGATCCGCCGTCGCAGAGGTGGAGAGGCTTGTCCTGGACCTGGGCCGAGGGCAAAGAACTAAAAGCCCCCCCACCCACAACACAACTGGTGGGTAAGGGGGCCCAAATGTCTTACGTTTCTTAGAGCGCTCTGAAACCATTCTGAAAGGGGCAAATGATAGCCCAATAGAGTATGTGCGGTTTCTTTCTGGATAACGCACGCTCACAGCAGAAACGAGTAATGCCGGAGCGACAAACAATGCAAGATTCACACAATCTTGGTCTGCAGATATCAGCTGGCCGGAGCCAAACGGAGCAAGACACAACAGAACACTTCAAGACATGTCATGCCTCACTCCGAGACCTTTATAAAAGAATTGGAACAGAAACCTTCTGAAGCTGTGGGCTCAAACCAGCAGCGTCTCATCTGGAACCTTGGCCGCGGCCTTTGCATCCGTGCCAGCCGCATCCGCTGACGGATCCGTGTGCACCTTGCCTACCACCGTGTCCAGGTGGACGCTCTCACCGGGCTTCTGACTGGACTTGGGCCGGCAGGCGAAGGTGACGCCAAGAGTGCAGCAGGCCCCAGCTGCGGCAGCCGCAACCAAGAGCACCCAGAAAGGCACCTTGCTGCCGGCCTGCTGCAACCAGTCGCTGCGCTCCACGGGACAGCTGCTGCTGTCAATGAACGTGCCAGCCGGGAAAACGGACAGGGCTCCATGCGTTGCCTCTACCTTCAACTCCAGCATTGCAGATTCCGTGCTGCCACAGGCCAACACAGCAAAGTGCCAGTCCCTGATGTCGTGCACCTGAAACATGTCAATGATGAAGGAGTGCTTGTTGCCCCGGCTGTCTAAGTTGGAGACGGAGGTTGCCTTGAGCATCTTCTCTGTGCACGAGCTGCTGTCCCACTGTTGCGATGCCTCTCCCCATCGCTCTGCTCGCCCATCAAAGCCCACGAGGTATACGGGGCCGTTGTCCCTCAGTGCCGTCTGGCCATTCCAGTGTGCAGTGACAACCAACTGGCCCACGCTCTCCCCGTCGGGTGCCATCCCAAAGAAGAACCCCCCAAGTGCCATGAGCCGTTGCTGGTTAAGGATACGGCAGCGCTCAAAGCCGGGTTTTCCTTTTGGAACTGGGCTGCGGTCTCCACCGAAGCCAGGGCGAACAGCACCAGCGCGAGCGACATTGCAAAGCACCAAAGGTGCCAAAGGCTCACTAAAGCCTCAGAAGGCGTGTTTTATTTCACCCCCTGGGCTATTTTGAGCCCTTGAGAGCGGCGCCATGTCTCATCTCAGAGAAATCCTTCTTCACCTTCTTGGTGGGAAAACAATCCTGGGCCCTGAGTGATCTGCCAGGGGTGAATCGGCCAACATTCGGATCCGGATACTCCAGCCCCAGTGCAATGTTCAGCTGATTCAAGGGTCAACTCAGGACACTTGGTGCTGTCGGTATCATTAAGCGTGATTCAATTGCACGGAACGACACTAATAGCCAGCACCATACGCAGCGGACATCAAGCGACGCACAGGATTCTCACCACGCAAATGCTCTTTTCCAAGAGGCGTTCGTGCTGCGTCTGGTCATAACCCAAGAGTGAAGCCTTCTTTTCCACCGCGAGCTGTTTCCCTTCACTCGCCATAACTCAGGCAATCCTATTTGGTTTGCTTGCTTGAATTCAGCAGGTTTGCCTGCCTGACTGTGCGCAAACATCCCCATCTGGAAGTCCCAGGCTCAACTCCCTGGATATATACATATATACATACATATATATATATATATATATAACTGTGTATTTATTTATTTTTCTTTATTGACTGATTTACACATATATATATATATAATATGACTTGCCCCCTACCTAAGGGAAACCGCTCACGGATTGGATTGGGTAAGCTGAGCATCGCACATACACGTCGCGCATGGTGACCTCGGCCAAGCGAGCAGAGAGCGCGAGCTTTCGGGCCATGAGGACTTGAGTCACAATCAACACCCGGTAGTAAAATGGCCTACCCAGAACCATGTAAAGAATTAAGAAGGCAGCCGCTACTATTTCTGGCTGGGACTGCCCTATAACCTTCACCTACCCGGGTTTTGATTGTGGCTCACTTGAAATGGGACTCCTGTTGCCTTGCGGCTCTCCCTTCGCAACGGAGATCGCTGGCTTTGACTCACCCGCAAATTTGTGACTTGAGGCTGCTGCTAACCAGTACCCCTTCTCGTCAGCTTCGTTTTTTGGCACCTAGGAGATGCACCCGGTCAGGTGCAGTCTTCGCGCAAGTTTGCAAATCTCAATATGCGAACGGAAAGCTCCTGGTCTTCCCAAGCAACATGTCAATTCTCCAAATTCTGCATTAGTTCAGTGCGGCCAGTGACTTGCAGGTGGCTCACAGTTCATCTTTGGTTCCATGTTGGGCTCGGATCAGCTGCTTCTGCCCCCAAACCCGCCTATTCCTGGCTGGCGGCTGTTTCACCCTCAAGCAATGCCTGAGCTCGGCACCGGAAGCCAGGCGACTTCTCCCTCTAACCGCTCTTGCCTGTACCTTGGATCAGGCCAACTCGCGCATTGCAAGTGCTCAGCCACAGTTTCCAATCCGAACAAAAACGACTTGCCGTCACAAATACCTCGGTCATGGGTACAGGCTACCATCAAGCTGGCTACAGCCTACCAACAAGCCACTGGCCAATTTAAGAGGCTGGCCCCCCGAAGGTGATCTCGCTGTCTTCATCAGCCTTGGCCGCAAGCAAAGGTCCTCTGGCAGGGCTTGTTTCCTACTCGCAGGGCAGCATCTACCCCAAATGCTGTTCCAAGCGCTTGAATGGGGCAACAGCAGGAAAACCACCGTTCCCCGAATCTGGCAAGCCCAACCGTGTTCTAGGCCCGGCACATCTAGCCGCCTCAAGAAAAATGCGAAGGTCGGGTTGCTGATGGTTCGGTTGGCAGCCTGCCAAGAGCTTGCACACGATAGCAGGACAACTAAGTTGAAACAAGACAGCTGCGCCACCAAGCGGTTGACAAAGTTGAAAGATGGTCCTGCCTCGGGACAATATTGCATGCATCGTATCGGACTTTGACTGCACATGGGCCAACATGGCAAACCAAAAGGGCATACACTGTGGCATACACATTGTTTCTAGGTCTTGACGTCTTGACTCTAACAAGTTGCGGCATCTTTCGGACCTATGAAACCAACCGAATCGCACTTGCAAGTCGGCCACCACCAGTCCTCTAGTCGCGGGTAAGCAGTCAAGCTTCAAGCCTCCCCTCCGCCCACCTCCTCCCTCCACCAAACTTCAAAGTCAAAAACACAAGGGTCACAAACAAAGGACCCCCGACAAAATACACCAACCTCGAGCCCAGTAAATAAACCAAACCAGCGACAACTCCGAGCGACCTCCGAGCGACACCGAGCGACATGCGCCATCCCGTCGCAACCAAAGTGCCCGGGAGCCGCGCCGATAAGCCGCCCAGTCCCAGGCCGAAGATCCCATCAAAGGGCAGCTCCGTGAAGGGGAACCGGGACTCCTCGCCGAAAGGCCCAGCGGCTCAGCCCAGCTTTCCGCTAGGTCAAAGTGACCTAAAAAAAAGACTGGACTGGAAGCTTTGGCTGAGTGTCAGTGCCTTTTTCAGTTGGCAGGTGTTCTGTGGCAAGCAGCTTGAAAGCTGAAAATAATGAAACAAAAATGAGCGATCGCGACCTTGGCACCAATAATGCCTTGCCGGATTCACAATCCAATGAACGGTATGGATGCTTTGCTTGGGCATTGACGCCCTCGCTGCCGACGATAACATGAGAGAGAAAGCCTGCTCGCTCGGCTCGCACCTGCGTCACACCGAGGAAGTCCACTTTCAGACCTCCGGCGATGAGTGCTGGGAGCTCGATCCAAGCTGTTTTTCGGCCATTAGCGTGGTGAACCCACTTACTGCCTGGAAAAAACCTCCTCAAATCGCTAGAGCGCGGTGTAGGTCTGATTGGCGCCACTGCGCATGGCCCAGCACCGGTGCGCAAAGAAAAGTAGCACCTGCAAAGTGGTCGGCAGCATATTCTTTGTATGCTTTTGTTCAACCTGAAACAAACCCTCAGCCATCTACACTGTTATGGTTGCAGTTGCCCAGTTGCAGATGCGATCCCCCCCACCCTATCGCAGGTAAACTCGCTGCCCATTGGCCAACAAACAACACAATTCAAAGCAGCCAACAAGGCATGAATGATGCTGAATTTGGAGGTCCGGCAAAAATCAGGTGGGAGGAATCCAGAACATTATAGAACAGCTGCAACCGAAATGGGGCTTCTTTGGGGCCCGGGCACATGGACGTATCTGCAGGGCCAACAGCCCCATTTCCTCGCAAGGACGGGTCAAACTTGGGCAAACCGGGCAAGGAAACCGCTTGCGAAATCGAGGGCTTGGAACCAATCCCTTGTTGTTTTTCCTTTTGGTGAGATGTTTACTGGCTAGCACAAGGACAAATCCAAACACAGAGCTTCTTGTACGTACATGTCCATGCTTGATATCCTGTGGGTGCTCAAGGGCCAGTGGTGTCACTTCGACAATGTTCCTTGCAGCCCCTGACAGCCGCGACTTCGGTCCAAGCATCTAATGTTTACTTGAATCTCTTGCGCAATCAAGCTGCTTCAATCAATTCGAACGAGCACTTGAGTCCGGCGATTGGAATCTCCAGGTCTGTATCGAAATTGGGAACCCGCCCTTCTTCCTTGGCTTGGATGACCACATCCGACGACCTGGAGGTCCCTCACACATCTTTGGAGCGTGCAACATGTGCAACTTTGGACGGGGCAGTCGGCATCCCTGGCATCCTGGCTTCTGGTTTCTGTTGTCAGTGTTTGGAGAATTCCGATTGGCCAAGAAGAGTGTATACCCACCAGGCTGCAACAGAATGCAAAAGCATCCCTGGCGGGGCTTCATGTTGCTTCTTCATCTCTGTTGCAACTAAGTGGCCCCGGTAAGAGGGAAGGGAATAAGCGTCTAAACAGGGTCAAAGTTGCGGGCTCTGAAGTGAGTTCTTGCTGCCTAGCCCAGCCAGCTCAAGGTGAAGGAACATGTGATAACCCTGTGGGTCCAAACCGCTCCGGTTCCACTCCCATCGTGCCTTGGCGCAGGCAAAGCGTGTCCTGGATGTACTCGCCGGTCAGCTTGCCGGTGCCTTTCAGACCGAACGGGGCCATCCGGTTCCTGAGGTGTTACCATCCGGTTCCTGAGGTGTTACCATCCGGTTCCCTAGGTGTTCTTCGGTGTCTACTTGGTCTTCGGTTGGTGTGGCGCTTGGGTTTCCATTTGGCCCACAAAAAGTGAGTCACTCCTAAGCAGATCTGAGGCCAAAAGAATGGCCCCATGGCCTCCTCACGCTGTTGACAGCCCCTCTTATGCGTGTCAGGAAACCCGACCTAGCGCCGAAAAAGCAGAACTCCACACCGGGTGTTGCCGATATACGGCCTCTCTTTTCTCAAGGCAAGCAAGGCAAAGCAGGCAAAGCAGGCAAAGCAGGCAAAGCAAGAAAGCAAAGCAAAGCGCAGCAAGTCATATCAATATAAAGATGGATCTAACTCTATTTCCGGAGGAGCCCACTGCTGGCTTTCATGCCAACTTAGCGGAGAGGTTCGGAATCGGCCAGGCCCCGTGCCGTAAGTGATGGTGGTGGTGTCGCGATCCTGCGGCTGCGGCTACGTCAGGGCCAGGGACAGGGGCCGATGTAGGTATGGCGTAGCGGCGTATTGGTTGGATCCCCTGTGCATCATGCACACGTGTTTCGGGCCCAGCCGCCTTTTTCAAGGTGGTCCTTATGCATACAGTGTTTTTTTCTTTTTGAGGGCATCCTTTCGGTGATGATTTGAAGAAAAACCGAAGGATCATCCATTTTGGAGGCAAACTTGAGGAACCTGAATGGACGGTGCCGGGGCAACGAGGCCACGATATCATCCTGCTTACAAAGTGTGAACACCCAAGACCACCCTGCAGAACTTCAGGGGTCATTCCTCTCTCCACTTGCATTTTTCAAGGTGGACTATGGTGCTGCCCTTTCAAACAAAATGTGAAGCCAGTTTCCAGGGAATTGAAAAAGGGGCCCCAAAGCAAACTGTTCCATTTGTAAGGTCTGACTCATGGTCGTAGACAACTGTGTGCATTTCGACCAAACCTCCGCTTATTTCGGATTGGTCCAAAACAGCGCGCGAATCAGGGGAATCCATTGAACATAGACCATCTCCCAGTTGAGAAACAAGCTATCAATGCTTCTCTGGCACTGCCTCATGACGGCTTGTCTGAATCCGAATCCGAGACCCACGGCCTTCAAGACCGCCCTCCCTTGTTTTTCACTGCCAGGGTTTTCTGGGGCTTGACTGAAAGGGGAAAGGACCCATTTTGGGGAAAACAGGGCCCACCATAGGTCTCCTTTTTTGAAAGCAGATGATTAAACCAATAGGTCTACCAGGGCCTTCTATTTCTCAACTAAACTGAACAGAAAGGACACCCATGGCGCCCCACACCTTGGGTTTCCCGCCCCCAAATTCCCTCGGATCTCGATCTCCCGCAGCTCGCCTGGCCGGAGCGCAGCACGGTGCCATCCTCCAGGGCCAGCTGCACCGCGGAGCCTCGAGCGAATCGCCGTGACCGTGTGGCGCCTGTGGGGAGGTACCTGGATCAAAGTCTTTTAGACACCCGGTACCTGTCAGTTGCCATGTTGGGAGGGGGGGTCAATCAAGGGCGCCGGAAAGATATGGATGAGACCCGTAGCTCACTTGCCAGAAACCAAATCAGAGCTCGATCTTGGACCTTCACCTGAAAGCCAGTGTCGGAAGGTGTGGCTTTGAACACCAAGGAAGGCCCTCCAAGTTTGACTAGCCTGCGAGCGGGTTTTGGCACACGCGGAGTAGCAGCATACACTCTGGCTTTTGGCTAAAAGCGCAGGGCAGTGATATTGTGAAGCAAACAGCGTGCAAATTAAGCGCGATTACCTCCTGCTCCAAGCCAGCAGGCCTGCTTTCACTTCAACCTTGCCCTGCGCAGCCGTTCCTCAACATCGAGCATGAACTGCTGAGAACACTCAGGCAATTCAGGGACCCAAAGGTTTGCACGCTCATCTCTTACTTATTACAGCCTTGGCTCCCTGTGAGTGAGTGGGTGAGCGAGCGAGTGGGCGAGTGAGTCAGTGCGTGCGTGCATGGGCGCCTGAGTGAGCAAGTGTGTGATTGAGGAAGTGAGTGAGTCGCGCAGCCCTTCGACCAATCGGTGTGGGTCCGCTGAAGTTGCCTCCAGCCATCTTTGCAGCCGGAATCGAAACTACCAGCGTCGCACGAGGGCCTCGCGTACACGGACGCCCCGCATGAAACTTTGCAACGCTGGTGCATCGATGGTGTTGCCGCTGGACCACGCGAAGAGGGAAAGCTTTCACAGATTCACAATAGAAAGCATGCTTCCAGGTATGGCTCTTCCAAGTTCATGTGACCAAGGTTGGCCAAAACAACAAAGAGCTGAACGATTTTGGCACCATCTGGGCACAGAGGGCACTTCTCACCAATCCTCATCGCGCTCCGTGGTCCGAGTCCTGAGTTGTCCAAAGGCCCTTGCAAACGTGCGTTTGCTGCTCCGGGCCTGGAAGCATGACCAAGGAGCAATGGGGGCTGGGGGGGAGGGAGGGGAGGGGGAGGGAGCCCAGAAACATTAAGCCCTTATTCAGGCCTTATTTATTGTTTGGCCTCCCTCCCCCTCCATAAAGTTGGTATCACAGCTAAGGTGCTTTTGCTCAGCTTCCTTTCGACGACGGGCGTACAGCTTGCGCTTCTCGATGAACGGGTCCCCAAAGGGCCAGTACCTCATCGCACTGAGAGGCCCCCTCTCCTAGCACCCCCTTCTCTAAAGTATTGAGGAATTATTCCCTTCTTTGGCACCATGGGGGGGTGCCCCAGGAGTCTGCTAATGGATGAATTTCCTGCTGGTTGATTCATATTTAGGTCCCATTTCGACGGGAATCGTTCCTACGCAATCTTCTCTTCCATTTGCTCAAGCTGCCTGGAAAAAACAACAACTCAAAACTTATTTCCAATAGTGGCAGATTCCTTTTAAAACCAATAGGGGGAGATAAAACATATTCTTAAGCAAATGGGTTTTCTACCAAATTTAGTAACACAAACGTTTACAGTAGTGGTAGACTCCCATTAAATTCACAGTGAAGATATAAGAAACATTTAAACTAAATGAAAGTTCCGCTTGGCCGGGAAGACCAGCCCCCCGAGGGCGGCCAAGGCCCGCGCTTGAAGCGCTCGGGGAAGTACTTCCTGCGAAAGCCATGCGAAAACCGAGGCGCCACAATGGCTGGAACGGGGTTCTCAAATGCCCCGTGGCCATGGGGAAAAAACGGGCATGGTCGACTTTAAAGGGGAACCCTTCCCACCCAAAAAAGGAAGAAAGGGCGCCCAGGTTGCAACTGGGGGTTGCCTTGCAGGCCCCCTTCCGCCCACTGGAAGGCGATTTTGCAAGGAATCCAAACGGCCGAAAAGTCGGGGTTGGAACCTCCAAAGCGGGACACATCCGGACTCTCGCACTCAGTTGGGACTTCGCAAGAAATCGCTTTGCAGCCAAGGATCCGCTCCACTTCTTCTCGAAGAGATTTCTCCTCCCGGTCTGAATCATCACTATCCTCGCTTGCAAAAGGGCAAGGAAAGATCTGGAAAGAGGCAAAAAAGCTGGTTGGGCCCATGACCCGTCCAAAAAAAGGAGCCAACGTGGCCAACACAAAATTCCAAAGAGGGGAAGCAAAAGCCAAAAAAATACTTGCGCAAAAAGCCCCCCCCTCGCTGGGGGCCCGGGGCAAGTCTCCTCCTTCTTCTTGAGGTCGGCTCCGTCATCATAGGCCCGTCGCTTGCCAGGGTCAGACAAAGTCTCGTAGGCGGTGGCGATGCGTTGGAAGTCCCGCGTTGAGCCGCCCTGCTTGTCAGGGTGGTACTTCCTTGGCCCGGCTCCAACTTGAGGAGTGTTCCCCAAAAAATGGGGCGAGAAGATCAAAACACACAAGCACATACAAGAAAACAAGCAATTTGGAGTTTGCACTGCAACAGTTGGCAACGAAACCAAGGCCTGGGCCAACAAACACTCTAGCTCGCAAACAGGGCACAAGCATGCCAAAAGTGGCAGCAAAGATGCAAGTTGGCAAGCAGAATGTCAAAGTTCAAACCAAAACCAACAGTTGGAAAGCAAAGCAGCAGTTTTGTATCAACAGCTGCAGCCACTTGCAAACACATACACCATGGCAAACTACAAACAAAAACTCTACAGATCGCAAACGAGTGCACAGTTGCAAACAAACACTGAAACACATGGCATGTATGCAAAGGCAAAAAAAACAAACTACCAAAAGGCCATGGTTCAGGCTCATGAGCCGATACGCGCGCTTCAATTGCTGGTCCGTGGCATCTGCCGACACCCCGAGGACTGCATAGAGATCCGATGCTGTCAACTCGGGGGCGGATCCGGAGCCGATGGATCCAGTGGATCCGGTGGGGGCACCTCACGCAAGGGTTGCAGGGGCAGACCTCTCCACGAAAGACCCCCCGGAGAGGTGTCATGAGGTCAATATTGCTTAAAACAGTAGACTGCGTTGCAGGATTCCTCAGCCCCTCACCCTAAATGTCGAGGCCACAGGTGACTGTGTAGCAGCCCGGCCAAAAAAAAGAGCCGCATCACGAAACAGCTGACTTCAACCAGCAACCAACCAATGAAGCACAATCACAAGGTTGCCCTTCCAACGACCAAAGCAACCCATTTGTAGATTAGTCCTCAACTGAAAGCCCCGCGACCACCAGGGGAGTCGCGACCACCAGGGGAGTCGCGACCACCAGGGGAGTCGCGTTGCTATCTACATAGCACAAGCTCCATTAAACAAACACCGACCGATGGGCCCCGTTGCAACCCACCAGCCTCTGGGCTTGCGGCGGTCGTCTTTCTCCAAGCGTTTGGCTTGCGCATGGGCACGCACCAGCCAGTCGCACAGATCCGGCCACTGGCGGTCGATGCGCAGCAGGGCCTCCAGGGTCTTGATGGTCTCTGCGGGGCGCCCAGCCTGGCGGGGCCGGGTCGACGCCCTGCTCTTTGGCGGATGTGGTGATTTGCGTGCATTGTTTGTCGCTGGCTAAGGCAACCCCCTCCTCCCCGAAAATAACAAGCAAAAAACGTTTCAGCAAAGAAACAAGAAGCTGCATTCTCAAGTTCAGAATGCATTCATTATCATTCTGCTCTCGGCATCTTGGGTTTTGCCCCCTGGATTGGATTTCAAGGGGAACCTGAAGAAAACTGGTGCCACTTTCAGGGGCGGAGTAGCAACACTAGCTCAGCCTCTCGAGTCTCTCAAAGTGCGGTAACCATGGAAAACTGAATCAAAACAATGCGCGACGGTTCACACCCAACAATGTTTTTTTGTGTTTGATGCAAATGGACAAATGTGAGCGTCAAACAAATGCGAACATGCACAGTAAGAACAAACGCTAGGGTGGCAAATGCGTCTTGAACTCGTGGTTTCACCAGGCGGCTCAAGTTGGCCCCCAGCCAATCCAAGCGCGTCAACCCCACCAAGACTTCATACAGCCGAGAAAGGGGCATCGCACCCTCTTGTTGAATGAAGGCTTTGTGGGCTTGCGCGGGCCCTATGATTGAAGTCCCATATCCCTCAAGATTCTGGCCCATCTGTGGACAACCTTGAACTGCCAGCGTGATCTTGCTTGAGTGGTCCAAACAAACCAAATAGAACCAAAGAAACTATCTGACCTGCCCAAAGATGAATGCCGCGGAAAGTTGAAGCTTTCGCCTTTCCTGTAATAATGAAGGACGCAGCCAACCAACCAAAACGCTCCCTCAAAGGATGCAAATGGGCCTGCCAAACAAAAGGACCTTTATGTATATACTTCACCGGTTGTTTTTGGAGGTATCCTCTTCCGGAAGCCTGTAAAAACCCGAAGCTCGCCAGGCCCCCTGCCCGCAATGTTCAGCTCTTTAGTCTTCAACAACCGTGGAAGCTGACAGCTTTTATACTTGTACCCGTGCAGTACGCGAAATACATGGTGCTCAAAAAGGGAGTCTGAAACAGGACTGAAAAATTGGCAGTCTAAGGTTGTCAAGATGGTTGCCCAAATCTCACAAATTGCCACATGAATCGCTTTTACTAAGAAGAGCGCCAGTCAATTAAGGCGTCACCTATCATAGCAGCAGCAGCAGTCGTAGTAGTAGTAGTAGTAGTAGAAGAAGTAGAAGTAGTAGAATTAGTAGTAGTAGACGTAGTAGTAGTAGTAGTAGCAGCAGCAGCAGTAGAAGCAGCAGCAGCAGCAGTCGGACTACACAGATCACTTTCATTCTGCTGATAGCGTTGGTTAAACTATCTAGTGTAGTAGTGGCAGCGTCAGTAGAAACACTGTTCGCACGAGGCCTAGCAGCTGTAATGACGGAAGCATGTTTGATAAGTGCAAAACCAAGGGCTGCCTGGCGCGCTTCCGCTTAGCAACAGATGTGTGCCTGTTTGCTTTGCCCTGATTACCTTTTGGGTCCACGACTGTTGGAAAGAATCTAGCTCAAAGATCCAACCCCAAAGCTGAAGGTTCACGGAAAAATACCAAACAAATCCAACATAAACTTAGAAAGGAAAAAACAACTTCCAGCAGCCAGGTATGGCCATCCCCCCACCTCCAGGAGGCAGGCGGCCTTGCGGAAGAGCGCGCGAGCGTAGCCGGGGAAGAGCTGCAGCGCCGCGTCGCAATCCTGACTCAGCCGTGGATGGACCGCTGTCTTTGGGGACGCCCCCGTGGTTGTCTGGAAAAAAGCAAGCTAAACAAAACAACAACAAACATTCTGTGGGTTTTTCAATTTATGTTGACGCAATTGTTTGAACAAGCCTCCTTTGGTCCAAGGAAGGGCCAGGGCCTTTGGGTGCAGACATTTCGCAACCCTGGTGCATTTACTTTGGTTTCCAAGGCACGCCCACTGTGAGGAGTACCAGAGTCTGGTTGTTTCAACCAATTTCAATTGAGCCAGCGCTTGGAAATCAGCCGAGTGGCTTCCATGAAAGTGTTGATTTGAGGCTTTGCCGTCGCGTAAACCAATCAAACAAAAGACCAACCAAACGGAAAAAACAACCAAGCAAACCAGCCCTTCCCAACCAAGCAGACAAAACATGCGAAACGGTGTGCTTGGCTGGGAAGCCAGGAAGGAACCACACCAACCTCGGTGTCCAAACCAAACGCCCCAAGCCCCAAACAAAACTTCCAACCCAATGAAAAAGGACAACACGCAAAACCAACACCCCCCTCCCCACCCGCACCCCACCAACAAAAACACAAAACCTAAACAAGCAAAAAAGACAACGTAGCAAGTCCAACCAAAACCAACATCCACCCCCCCACCACCCGCCCCCCCCCCCCCAAAAAAAAAAAAAAAAAGAGACAAGGGGAGGCCTGAGGGGTGGGGTGTTGATGGTTGCCTGTTATGGTTTGTATATTTGGTTCAAACCTATAAACCACCATATGCGTTTTGAAAGGAGTGTTTTTGGAGGGGTTATCTGTCGTTTTCGTTCAGGTGGGCATTTGGGTAAATGTCCCCCTGTTTCATTGTTGGGCTGGGGGCTGACGTTTTGTTCATTAGAAAGAGTTAGGGCTTTTAGTAGTTATGTCTGGGGTGTTGGGCGGGTCATTTGTTTTTCCATGTCAATTTCTAAACTTTTTTACTTTTCTTCTACACTCACTACCACTACTGCACGAATGAGGCTCGCAGCTCTGTTTCGTGTAAGCTCAACCAGCAATGCACACAGCCGCGTCGATCTCGTCTTCTCAGCTGTAGTTAAGCCTGCAGCGTCAATGGGCCTAGCCACGCTTTGAAAATTCCAAGGCCAGTCATGAAAATCACTAATCTTTTGCTCTGCGGATGTATGCTGGAAAATCTCAGGCCTAGGCAAAAGTTTGGACCAATCCTGATTTGCGCCCGACGTTGAGCTCGTCTTTGATGCTTCCACTGCTGCTGTAGCAGCTGCAGCAGCATTGACCGCTGCCCTTGAAGTTGTTGCATCAAAGCCTCCAGAACCGCGTTCCCCGCTCCACCATCCATAGTGAAATCTGCAAACCCAGGTACGACTGCCCAAAGGTGAAAATGCAGGTTCACTGAAATACCTAGGAGCTACGGGCACCGCTACCATAACGGACTTTTGAGCACTCTAAACTCTAAGGCCTCGGGCATGATCCAACTGTCACATGTTCATTCCCATGACTCAAACGGAAAACGGTGTCACTACTTTATAGTGCACAAGGTTAAAGCGGGCGTGAGCGCTACTGCGAAGTTTGCTCAGTTTCGGATGCTTGTTTCAGCCCTCTCGCTGGGTGTCCGTGTCACTTGCTTGTTTCTGACCAAACGGAACCGTGCAGTTCTTTCGGCGCAAACCTCTACCAATAACAGGAAACCGATGCACAGGGGCGGCATCAGCACCCTGGAAGATGAGCACTGCGATCAACGGAAACGTCGCACAGCCGCACACCTGGACAAACAAACCATGACGTGAGGCACATGCACCGTCAGATGCCAGCAGTTTTCATGTATTTGCAAAAATCACTGGAATCTTGGGCCAGCGCTGGGCCAAACAATGGGGAAAGCAATGTAAGCCAAGCAGCTTCTCTCGAGCAAAACGATGGGTCACTCAAACTGGGCCTTCCCCCCCAACCCTTGGTTTGGGCCACCCATGGCGTAAGACCACGAAGACATGTGTTCAAACCCCGTCGACCCCTCTGCTTTTGCCGCGCGGCCCTAGGAGCACCACGAGCGCGGTGTTACTTCCCGCGCAGCTGGCGTGCCAGAAGCTGCTGTGCCATCTTTGGCAGTCAGGAGCGACCATCTGAATGTTCAAAGAATAACTGTCAAACAAAACATGGCAAGCAACTCGTTTCCTGCCCTCAGCAAAGCATCGGCGCTCTTGGTGCAAAACTTCCTCATGAGTCTGTTCTCAAACCCATTGCGCGGCAAAGCTCCTTGACAATGCAAGTTGTTCTCTGGGACAATGAGCTGTGAATTCTGACCTCTGGGCCTGACCAAGGAAAGCCACGCACGTGATTGCTGAGGTCTGCCCATGCCTGCCGTAACGTGTCCCGTTCGTCAATTTTGGGCACACACCCCTGGGCAGCATTAAGAAGTACCTTCGACCACTTCCCGGCCGCTGGATTTCGCGTTGCTTCTCCCAGTGTGTTGGCTACGTTGGAGCTGCCCTTCATGCTCCAAAACTCCTCGCGCTGTCAAAAGGCCTTGTGCCTGGATAAGGGCCTGAAGGTCTTTGTGAAGGACCACGATCTCCTTCTCCTTCTCCTTCTGCAGGACCACAATCTCCTTCTCCTTCTCCTTCTCCGCAAGGCACTCCGAAAGGTTCGTCTGGCGCTGTTCTGCGTTGTCCACATAGCATCGCTGCTGAAAAGACCGAAGGTCCACAACCAATGCCAAGCACGTGACCCCAAGACGTACAAACTTGTGAGCACAATATCCTGAGCCCATCTCGCGCAATATCCTGAGCCTGGTTAATGACATGCGATGTCGACCGAGCCGAAATCTCAGCGGTAAAGCGATTGCTGAACTGCTTCGTGACACACGCCTCTGTGCAAATCTGTGAAGGGGGCCTAACGGGGAAGGAATCACGCATGTTTTTGAACAAACTAGCATGACTGCCCGACAAATCTACGACGGCTGAGGGCCTGGCCTGGGTGATGCCAAAATAACACATCACAAACATGAAAACAACAACACGATGATTCCCCTGCGTGTGCCTTTTTTCGGGGACCCTTTCAGGCTCTGTAGACACCATGTTGGGGGTTGAGCTGTTTTCGGACAGGCCCACTTAAGTGAACCAAAACTGGTAGTGCGGGCCAGACTGTCCAGGCCTCTCAATGCTCTCAAGAAGCTGTTTTCATTCGCGACGCAGAATAAACAAACATTGAAACAAGCAGGAAGGTCAAACCCGTAGCACAGTAATACTGCAAGCAAATGGTAACATCACAGCATCTGCACCGTAACATAAAGGTAACACAGGAACAACAAAGTTGAGAGACTGCGCCCGTTTCGCAACCAGAGGAAGACGGAGCCCCCAGCACCGACTAATACCCCAGACATGATAACTACTAAAAGCCTTAACTCTTTCAACTGAACAAAACGTCAGCCCCCAGCCCAACAATGAAACAGGGGGACATTTAAATGCCCACCTTGACGAAAACGATAGATAACCTCCCCAAAAACACTCCTTTCAAAACAAATAAGGTGATTAATAGGTTTGAAACATTGTATTTGTTGTAAAAAAACACACTATAGCAGGCAACCATCAATACCCCACCCCTCAGGCCCCCCCTTTTCTCCATGGTCCTCCTCCGCTTTGCGGAAGTCCCTGGCCCGGCGGTGGCATGCCGCGCGAGCCACCAGCAGTGTGGCGCGGCCCCAGCGGTCGTCACTGGAGCGAGCCACTTCCCATGCCCCCGTGCCATACACGGGGGGATGGGGGGGAGGGGGGGGACGGCAGTCTTCCCCAATGTTGTTTTTGCGTTTCTATAAATCGACATCCAGGGGCCACCCCAATTCCACACAAGACTCGCCGATTGGAAGCTTCGCTAAAGATGGGCCAAGGTCCAAGGGTAGGTTTTGGGGAAGAGGTACGTCATAGGTGGTTGATAGCCACCGTATGGGAACGGTAGGAAAGGTATACGCCGCTTTACAGCGCAGAGGGAATTGTGTGTGAAATTGCTTTCTGAAATTGCGCCCCAGGTTGATAGAACGAGGGAGAACCCGTCCTGTGACGCCTCGAAGTAAACAAACCCGATGACCCATCGCAGCCGCAGGAAACCCAACGGTTTCCTTTGTAGAATTCTCCCTTGGGACCCCTTCTGAGGGTTACACGCTAGTTTTCAGGGGGGAAGTGACAACTGGAAACACTAAGAGCAAACCACCGCACAATGCAAAACCATTCCACTTGGAGCTCGGACACGCCATCAACATATTTCGTCAAAGCTGAGGACGCTTCAGAATGGAACTGCCATGAACCATTTAGGAGACGACGGGCCAGTATTCATTCTTCACACATGGGTCATTGGCCAAATGCATCTTTCGGATCAAGGAAACTTGAGAACGGGCGGACCGAAACATGGTAGCGGCAGGTGGCAAACCAATCCAGCCCGAAGAGAGCGTGAGTCGAAGCCGCTGCCGTGCCCCCAGGCCAGCTGTTGGGAGAAGTGGAAACCATCCAAAGGTTCATAGTCGGCCATCGTGCTTGGACGTAGGAATTGAAAACAGTGAATCAGCCCGTGCCCCCGTGCACCGTGGACCCCACTTAAGACTGTTCCCATATTATTGGCCGCTTGAGTTGGTGGCTTGGATGTTCAGAGGGGTACCCCTCCAAATCCTTTTCGGCCACGAACCGGGGCTCCGATCCTCACCCGAAGCCAGAAGCTACACATTCCGATGCATGTTGGCCAGCTCCTTTCGGCGCTGCGCCGTGCCTGGGGCAGCTGTCGAGGGCGTCACCGTAGCGATTCGCCGCCGTAGGGAAGTCCCCGTAGGCATAGGCGTCCTCCGCGGAGACTTTGCAGCGCTCGACCTTGGCGAAGCCTCAGCCGGTTGGCGGGGTCTCAAAGTCGTTTATTTGGAGAGAAGTCGTCCTCTTTCCGGTTTGGACCGTTTGTCCGTAACTTGGGCCGTTTGGTGGATCTGGTATGATCTGATGAGGACTCATTGTTGAACAACAGGAGTGGAACCCGCATAAAGGCCGAGAAAACGGATAAGATGTGAAACCGGGAAGCTCTGCAATCGCACGGACGCGCCCTGCCGGCCCCACGCCACGTCCACACCACCACCTGCCGGGAATGGGCAAGACTGGTGCGTTGGATTCGTGGTTTGGCTTGGTGATTTGGGGATCTGACCCCCTCGTTGTTCTCAAAACCAATTGGGAAGGACCACCCGGCATTCAAACCCCCTAACCCAAGCCACCAGCCTGGCAAGGGTGACTTCATTGACAGCATCTCGGCCAATCATGAACATCCCCCAAACCAACATAAAAAGAACAAACGGAATTGGTACCGTGGGGGACCATTCAAACGGGTTGCCCATGAGGGACAGTCTACGGCGGGCTTCAGCTTGGTGTCCTTCCTGTTCGGGGGTGCTATGCTTCAAAACGAAGGAAATCACTCGCGAAAGCCTGAGCCGTGAACGAAGTGTTTGCATCAAACGTAGGTGGGGTGTTTCGTGCTGGCATCCTTGTACATCTTCTACAACCCGTCCAAAAACGCCCCTTTGATGTTTTGATGTGTGGCCATTACATGTTGCTGCTCGTATCTGCTCGTGGTGGTAGGTGTGGCCCCTGAAACAAAAACTATAGGCCCCAACAGCTGGGAAACCAAAAAGGCCAAACAAACGTTGAGCGTGGACATCTGAGTCCAAGCCCCGATGCACCAAAACCTTCGACTTTGAGACATCGAGACACTGACATTGCTCTTCTGGCGCTCGTCCCAGGTCCCACCTTACTTGTTTGCGAACCCTGCAGTGGAAGCATTAGCAAGGCCTTTTGAAATGTCGGGATTACTTTCTCAGTTGGTTCCTGCCCTGGTCGTGTTGCAAGTCTAGGTAACTTTCAGGCAAGCCCATCTTGAAGAAAGCCAAGCCCGGCATCGCAAAAGCAATGGCCACTGCAAAACCTAAAGAGAGACTGTGCGCAAAAGGGTCCTGCCATGAAAACGAGCCCCGAAATCGCCAATTTGGCATCCGCTCGCGCCTTCCAGGGCCCTGGAGAGACACTTCATGCCCTGCTCCCGTCGTCCGGTGCGCAGCAGGCAGCGGCCCGCCCACAGCAACGCGGCCGCGGTTTCGGGGTGGCGCCGTACGCAGGCCTCTGCCTCCTGGACCGCCTGCGCTGGCTGTTTGTCGCTTGTTGGTCCAAGGGCGACTCGCACCACTGCGAGAAAAAAACACACGCGTGAACTTCACGTCCTTCAGCTTGACCTAAGTGGCTCCATAGTGGCACCTTGAACAAGAACAAGTCCCACAAGCTGATGGGACCTAAGGTGCCTTGTTCAAGTGGAGTCTTCATTTCTGGATTGAACAAGAAGTCCAACAGAGTTGGCGGACTGACGGGAACCGAGTCCAGTTGCGCAGTCAAATTAGCTGGCTCAGCATCTGGAATTGTGAGGCACCACCAAGGACCATCGCAGATTCTTCCAATGGTAGGGGGAGGGAGGGAGGTTGACCAGGTAGTATTAATCAAGAGGCTAGCTAGTAAGGCCATCTGCCGCTCCTATAGACCTTTCAGGATTGCTGAAGTATCGTTCTGCAAGGTATATTCGATTCAAGTTTCCACTGTCTGGAGGAGTTGAATCAACCATCTGTGCTCATGGGGGTGGGGATGCCATTTCGATATCACAGACCTTCGGTCGCCATCGGAGAAGGGGAAACCATGTTTTAGGACTTCAGGAAGAAGAATGGTCCCAGGCTCAAAACAAGATACTTGATCGGGGAGGGAATTTAAGGTGAGTGCTGAATTTTGTCAACCAACTCAGGGGACTTACAACCACGGTCTCGTTAACTAGTTTCTAACCAAGGGCGCCAACCGCTGACGTAATTACCCTGCCCCCCCTCCTAAACATGAACAACACACTTGCCAACAAATTTGCCAACAACAAACACTGAACCCCTTCCCACAACATGACCAAGAAAACAATAACAACTTGCCAACAACAGCGAAGTCTTGGTTTCCCTTTCCAGCCGAGCCGTGGCATCCAATACCGCTTCGGCTTCAGCGGCGCCCGAAGCCCGAAGCGCCTGCTCCTCCTGGCGGCACCTCAGCAGCGCCTGCACGAGTGTCAGCCGCAGGCGTAGGGCATCCTCCAAAAAGGCATGGCCCCGGAACGCCGGAGGTGGCCACTTGTCACACACACACACACAAATGGACAAAATACACATAGAAACGTATGCATCTCCACATGCATATGCCTCCATGATATGCCCTTGTCTTCTTTCGGTATGCACCGTGCAGACACACATCTGCATTTACATATCTATACACATACGTCCGTAAATATAAATACATACATGCACATATATATATATATGTATATTTGTTTATACCCACTTAAGGTCAGCCATGATATTTCTATCGTGCCTCATTGCAATATACACAATTCGGAGCATTGGCAATTTGTCACATATGATCATACATGTAGGGTTGCTGGAGGATCTCGTAGAAGTCAGGCTTTTCAGGATGTTATGTCCTGTGGAGGCAAACCAGCTTCCTGGCAATGGACTTGTGGTAATATCAGCGGGTAGATATCGGCCATCCAATATACAGCTGGGAAGTTGGGTGCTGCATAGGTTTCCCAGCGGAGCACCTAAGTGCAATGGAATTCCACTGCAACCACTGCAACCCAACCTTTGACTGGTAGGTAGCCTCACATACTAGAATGACCCAGCATTTTCAATCTGTACTGTGTCTTCGGTGTTTGCTGTCTTTTTCTCTTTTTTTTACGTCAATTTGCCTTCCCTCCAACAATTGTGGTAGCAACGGGGTAGCGGATTCCACACTCAGCGTCCCTCTTGGTTCGGTTTGGACATTGGGGGCTAGGTGCCTTCCAGGGGGCTAGGTGCCTTCCAACGACCCTCAACGGAGTTAACCAGCTAAAATGAACCCAAAGGGGTGATTGGGTACCCAGCAAGCGGTTGTTAGTAAGCCTGGTGACAATCCACTCAAAAACACATTACGGTGAGTGGGTTGTGACCATGGTTGTTACCCACTTACCTGACGTACCCTCAGACTAACTTCGGTAAGTGGCTTGTAACACTCACCAGACGTACCCCACTCAGCCTGCCCTTCGGAAGTGAGTTGTAGATGTTGTAGCCATGGTTACTACCCACATACTATGCCCGATCGCCCCAAGTCGGTGTCCCCAGCCGGGACGGTCTCCGGGGCCCGGGTCCTGGGACTCCTTGGGCAGGCGGTGGTTTTGCGCCGCCGGCACCGGCCAGGCCAGGCCCAACTCCGCGGCCTGGCGCCGGTGCTCGTCGCTGAGCAGCTGGCGCAGCTGCATGAGACCCAGCTCCACCGTCTTCATGGACTGCCTGGAAGAGAATGAATTTGCCCTTGAAGTTGGTGAATTGGTGGGTTGGTGGGTTGGTGGGTTGGTGGGTTGGGTTGGGTTGGGTTGGGTTGGGTTGGGTTGGGTTGGGTTGGGTTGGGTTGGGTTGGGTTGGGTTGGGTTGGGTTGGGTTGGGTTGGGTTGGGTTGGGTTGGGTTGGGTTGGGTTGGTGAGTGGGTGAATGGATGGTGGGTTGGTTGGTGGGGGTTGGTTGGGTGGGTTGGTGGGTCGGTCGGTTGCTTGGTTGCTTGGTCGTGCAACTCGACGTACTAAAGCAACATGCAATTTGTTTTTCTTGCTGACGCTCAACAAATGTCGCCCCCGCTGGAACCAAAGCAACAAGCGCCGTGATAGGTCCTAGCTGAAAGGCCGCATGAATTTAGCCTTGCTGTGAAAAGCAGCCCATTACCTGCCTAGCAGAAGGACAGCCAGCCCCTGCTTTGACAAACAGCCAGTTCCCCAAAAAAGGGAACGCCTTCTTTGGGGCTGACCACTTGAAATATGGGGGAAACCCCCAACAACAAAAAATACAGAAGCATGCACACCGAGCCAGGCAGACCCCTTTATCATCCTTTATCCAAGCGGCTGGTTGACGGCCTCCTGGGCCGCCTGGGCGGCCCTCCTGCCCAAGACGCCCTCCTCCACGAAGACGTGGGGCGCCACCGCTTCCTCTTCCGCCGCCTCCTCCTTCTCGACTCCCAAAGCTGCGGCCCAGGCGTCGTGGGCCTGGCAACCCGCCAGCCAACCCCCCACCCCCCCACCCCTCTTTTTTTTTGGGGGGTCCGCGGTAGCATGTTGTACTTGAAAATCAAACCAAGTCCTGGTAAGCAGGTTCGGAAGTTTCGAGTCGCACAAGTACTTTTCTCTAAAGGTAAGCAAGGTTACAATACGATCATTGTGGTGTAGTAGGATAGCTACTGCTATATAATCTAAAACTGGAAGTGGCTTCGCCTCTAGCCTTGTGTTTCTTAGCTGGCCTGTGTAATTCATGTTCAAACAAATTCACATTGCATGCACAAGCGCGTGCAACAGAAAATGTGCTAAACAAACTGGGTCCAACACCATGCACCTGAAATATGGTCAAAGCTCTCAACAACTTAGATGCAAGCATATGCACACGGCAATGGGGGCAATAGACTTGAGTGCCCTGCATCAATTGCCAGCTTCCTGAGCAGGATCATCACAACCAATCATCAACGGGAAACATGGCCTGGGGGCATGTGTTGGAAGATGGAGTACAAATGCATATTGGACCCCGTTCCACCTTCCCCCCACCCCCCTTTCAGGGGGTCCAGGCAACCTGTGCATTTTCCCTCAGCTACCAAGTCGCCCGTGCTTTGCATTCTCGGACCCCTGTGAGATTGGCACATGCCACCATGGTCCAAAAAGAGGCCCCTGATGACATTCAACATGGAAAGCCATCCACTTTGGGCCCCCTAGTTTGACAGCTTCTGGCTGGTCGGCAGGCCAAAGGAAATTGGGGGCCCCACCCTGACCCTCACAACATGGCACCTGTGGGGGACCCTCAAAACGAGTCAAGACACCTTAAAACCAACCCCCCCAACACACGCCAAACCAACCCAAGAAAAAACAAGAAGGGGACAAATCCCAAACCAACCCAAAATACAGAAGGGGACAAGACCCATGTGGTTTAGGAGCGGCCAGGCCAGGCCATGCCAGGGCCTCCCCTAGGTCCTCCAGTAGAGAGGTTCTGTAGCCAACTTTAGTAGGGGAATCTCCCCCCCCTCAAAAAAAAAAAGAACGGTAAAAAGGGCACTAGCTGGGGGACCTAGTCCCGTTCCGGCCTTCTGCGCCTCCAGCAGCGCCTCCGGCGCCTCCGCGAAGTCCCGCTGCGCCGCCCGCAGCGCCGCCCCCAGGCGCGCCCGCCGCGGCAGCACCCCCCGCGGGAGCGTCGCCGGGCCGGCGTCGCTGGCCTGGCGGGGTTGAGGCGATTTGACACCGCAGGGGGGGCTTACGAAATCTAACTTTTATCAAGTTTATGCACATACAATATAGTATACTAATACAAAACGAATAATAAGTTTACAAACATTTAGTTAAACATCATATTATAATATACTGATACAGACTTACAATAGTTCTTACACTCATCCATCCATATGTCTATACTAAAATGATACAAATAATTAATAATTGTGTGCAACACCTCCACCAAGTTGTGAGCCACCTCACAAAGATGCCGGACATCAATCCCTACCGAACCGATGAGCAATAAACCGGGCACCTACACTTCCTTTTTCAGCCAGCAACATCGCCTTGTGGGCCACTGTTAGGGGTTGCTGGGTAAAAGTAGATGGCGCAACTCGCTGAGTAAGTTAAGGGGTGACTAAACAAACATGAAAGGTTGTCAAAAAACGGTTGCAAGCATCGTGGCTACTCACCACCTCCAAGTAGTACCCTGCCCTTTGAAACAGGTTTACAGTCTGCTTTGGGAGGCCCTTACCCCCCCGAGCACCCCGCCTGACACCGGGCCGCCCAAAAACAAACAAACTGAACTATATCATTCGTTGAAGAGGCGTCAACATGAAACTGTCGTCCCAAACAAAAAATACAAAGAGAGCAGACGGCTTTCACTGGGCTTCCTTTGTCACGGCCAAAAAGTTGCCCTCCAACTTCGAGAAACACCTGTGCTTTCTCATGGTTGTGTTTGCTTGATGTTGCTTGCCCTTGTTTGCTCCAGTGGCCATGGAGCAAAACAAAGCACAGCATTTCACGAGTCTCAAATTGGGTGACTGACCCTAGATAAAACCTAACAATTGGGTTTAAGGGTTTGATGCTGTTTAAAACCTGTTGAGTCCCTTAGCGCCTCCAAACCCCAAACGAACCTGGACCCCGTCCCAAGAGTTGCCTCCCATGGCAGGCCCAGCACTTTCGCGGCGTGCTGCAGCTCCGGCTCGTTTGGCTTCCGCTCAGGCCGCAGATTCGGAGCCCTCACTGCCAGCTTGGCGCCCGAAGCGAGCTGCCTCAGACCCGGTCTGAGGCAGCCCGTGCGCTTGCAAATGGGGTGGGTTTTGCTTGGGAGTTGGGATTGTGTCAAAAGGACACCGAAAGGAAACCACTCATGTAATAGAGGGTCGCGACTGTTTTGACACAACCACATGGAACCCTGAGGGCAGGCACCCAGTGAGTGCAGCTTTTATGTACAAGAATGAGTTCGCTGAGTTGGAGGTTCGCTGATGCCTGGAAGGCTTAAATCGCTCGGGTCCTTTGGGAGGATACCCTTTTTGCTGGCTCAAAAGGGCGCAGGAAAACACTGAGTTGGGGGGTGCCCCGATTTGGCCCAAAGCGCCAAGGCCAAGCCCACAAGTTGACCATGAACCAACCTGGGCTACTCAAAATACATAATACTGAAGAGGTCGAAAAGTCAAGTTTGGCAATGAGGAGAAAGCACCTGAACAAAAAGCCAAAAGGAACACAGAATAAGTCGTCGCAGTGCTTCGAAGCTGCACCACGCAGCGGCCCTCGGGGCCCTCTGCGATCTTCAGGACCGTGCAAGCCTAGTCGTGATGCTCTTGAGAAGAAATGAACCGCGTCAAAGGGGAATTTTCTTGGCATCACAAAGGATTCCCATCATAGATACGTTGTCACTTTTGAAGGGGGCTCCCTTGGTGCCAGCCGCGTGAAAAGACAAGGCGCACTCCAAAACCCCAACTTGTCACAATTCGGCGCTTTGTGGGGACTTCACCTGTTCTTCCCCGTGTAGGTCCCTTTTTAGCACTCTTTTAGCACCCTTTATCCTACTGGGGTGGTTCCAGAAAAGCCCCATTCAATGCGCCTGGCCGTTCTTTCCAACGTCAGCCAGACCCTGCAGAACACACCCGCAGCCCACAGCCAGCGGTGTGGCAGTGCCCTGGCCGCGCCCAGCCACCTCCTCCTCGTTGCAACCGGTGACCCTGGGTAAGCAAACTAAGAAATTCGACTCTTTTTTGAGGTTGTCCGGTTTTAGAACCCTCCAGGCAAAAAGGGGGAACATGAAAAGACTGGCGTCCCCACCTGTAGCGGCACCCTCCAGGCCAAAAGAAGACACACAAAAACTGTGTAACTGAGCCAGCGTGTCCTTGTCTTCGAAGTCCTTGATGTCAAGAACCTCCTCAGGCTCCTTCAGCTGGGTTGCTCAAAATGGATCCGAATGGGGAAATCCCTAATCCTCGTGCGTGGTCCATGGTGGGACACCGCTACCCAAAAAAGAGAGTAAACAACTACCATCTGGAGATGGCATAAGAACTAAGGATTCCCGCAGTTTAGGGTTGAGGGCTGCTGACTGGCAAGCTGGCGCCTGTGGAAACGCACCTTCAAGTCGTGCCACGAAACTTGGCTAGCACTGGCTCATGACACTTTGGGTACTCCAAGGCTCTAAGGGAGCAGGTCGCAACGAAGCGATGTTGCACGGGCCTCATAGTTTCCCGGCTGCTGTTGCAACTTGCCTATAGGCCATAGATGCCTATAGCCTATAGCCCTTCGGGCTGAGGGAACTTGCTTGAAGCCCACTTGCATGCCGACCTGTTGCCTTTTAGTGTCCTGTTGTTGGGTCGTCTAAGCCAAGATCAAAAAAGGCAAACCTTAAACGGAAGCTGAGAGGTGGATTTAAAAACGCGTTGCTGGAACACCAGTTTCCCTTGATTGACCCTTGGGCCCTGGTGGCAGTTCTTAGCTCCATGAAGCTTTTTGAGGTCCCTTTCTGAGGATGACGCCCTTTTTCCCTGGCCTCCTCCGGCGGCTGCTGAAAGTCGGGGGCCTGGAGATGTTCGGCTGCAAATGGCTGCAACGTGGACTCGGCTACATGTGCGTATGTGGTACTGTATACGTCCTATGTGACATATGGACACATGTATTCTGTACGTATGTTCATTGTTTCATCTTGTGCGCAAACTCCCTTCAATTGGTGTCCGCAAGACCGGAGTTGAATCTAAACTTCTTTGGAACAGTATTCCAGGGTCAACATGCATATTATTCATGCAGTCCTACGTGTGTGCGTGTTCGTGCTTTCATACATGACCGTAAGCGTATAACTCCTTAACAAAGGTGCCCCAACATTCAATCATGCTTACCTAAAACCTGAAACATCCCCCCGCCAGCACTTGAAACCGATTTCTCCGTCTGGCCGTCCCAGAGTATCGAACACCAACCTGATTTAATCAAAGCGCGTTTTCCCGACAGTAAATGACGATAATGATCAATACAGTATTGCGGGGGACAGTTGTGCATTTCTTCTGCGTGCCCGAGTGCGTTTCTAACGGGGCAAGCTCGTAAACTGGCCCCAGACTTAACACGTGCACAGCCGGGCGTGGTTGCCAATGTGTGACTTGACTGCCAGCTGCCCTTTCCGCGTGTCGATGAACACGTCGATCAAAGACTACAAGGCTGGGGGGGACCATCTACCCGCACCCACTGTGAGGCACAGTTGGCGCGCTGGCTCACACAGATTTTTGGTCAAGGAAAGCATCTGCAAAAAGCTTTGCCTCCCGATCAAAGAAATGATCCAACAAGCGACTCCATCCTGAGTGAAATCGCGAGTCTTACAATATTGTTCGCCAAAGGAAACATGGAGATCAATAGAACCTAACGGTCAAATCGCGCAAGATCCGAAAAGGTTCAACACAAACCATGAGCCCATGAGCCCATGAGTACATGAAACCTGGCGCCGGTCCCTTCCCTCGCGCGCCTGGAGCCGTGGCTCGAAGGGCCGGTCGAAGTCCCCCGCGCCATCGAGGGCGACTTCGACCGGCACCTCCCCACGGCCCAGGTCGGCGCCCGACACCGCCTCCAGCATCACCTCAGGGCTCTGAGTTAAGCATCACCAAGAGGAAACATGTTTTTCTTGAAAAGTGTGGATTTCACTGGCCAAGACGGGACCCGTGCCTTGTCCGGAAGCAAACAAAAACGGTCAATTCTCTCCCCACAGCTGCTTGCGTTTCAGGTTGTCATCAGCTGGCCTCAAGCTCTCTTGCCCAAAACCGATGCTTGTCAATGCCAAGCCGCCTTGCCCTTCTCCTGCACGCAGATCCACTGGCCCGTCTCGTCCTCACTATCCTCGCTGGGCCCGGCCAAGCGCAGCCAGGCGCCTTCCAGCTCGTTTCCACAGACGTACTGACCGAAGTCCCGGCGCCCACAAGACTTGGCGAATCCCTTGGGCTGCACCCGCACCGCCACACCTGGCACCCCGCACCCCGAACCCAGCGCGAGCCCCCGGCCCAGCCCCGGGTGCCATTGCAAGACAGCAGGCGCCTGCACATCCCCACGGCCCCACGATACCACCCCGTTCCTATGGAAACACCAGCTACTGGCAGCTGGCCCCTTCGGCTCCTTTGGTCTTGAAGTGGGGCCTGGGCTCCTAGCCTCCCCGCTGCTCAAGCCTACACCCCAAACGGCCTCTTCCCCAAGCAAGCTACCCTGCCGGGCAGGAACACAAGATCTCTTTTCATTCTCCAAGTCACACCCCAAATGGTAGGCTGACCAAACAAACCAACCTTTGCCTGACCGACACAAGCTGCAGAAACAGTCAAGTTGATGGGCCTCTCTGAGAAGCGCGTGCACGATCATGCCAAAACCACTGGGTTGATCAGTTCAGCTTCCCACATCAAAGGCTTCAACCCCGGTGTTTTGTGGATTGGTGTCCCGCTTGCCCTCTACAAAAGCCAGGGGTTCAAATCCACATCCAAACCAATCGAAACAACAAATTAGGGGCTACCCGACAAGTTGAGCCGACAAAAAACATCCACTTGATTGCCTGGCAGGAGCAGATTCTTCTGAAAATGCCTGATTTGCACTGAAGGGATTGAGGGCCAGCCTTATCCGGCCATTCTCCTCATTTGCCCACATACCTAAAGCATCCTAAAGTATTTAAAACTCATCAGGGGGCCAATGTGACCAGTCGGCTTCCTTTTGGCTCCCCCTAAAACAATGTGAAAAAGGGGTCCCACCAAACAACCCTGTCCTCCCTTCGACTTCGTTTACCGTGGAACACGCCGCCTTGGGGTCTGGCCCCTCGCTCCCTGCCCTCAAACCGCGCCTCCGGGCGCCACAACACGGTAGACCCAGCAGCGGGGCTGCTGGCAGCAGAACTCCAAGCTGTGCGGCGACGGCTTCGGCAGGTTGGCGCCAGCTCTGGCAGCCTCGCCTGCGGTCATTTGGCCATGGGTCAAAAGCCCGTACCCGCAGTGAACATCCCAACCCCCACTAAAATAGGTGGTGCACCTACCCCAAAATGATACCATTGGTTTTGACCCACAGCCATTTCACTCTTCGAGATTTGTTAAGCACTGTCAGTGACACTTGCACTGTTTGGTTGGAAGGTCTGCCAAATATATGAACCATGTAGGTAAATTCGCCCAAACGACGGCTTTCAGTGGAGAGTGGGTGGGGGCCGGGGGGGGGGTCGGTATTTTTTTCCTGCAAGATCGTTTGATGGATTCCAGAAACAGGAAAGCCAAAGCACTTTGCTTGGCCAGATGCCTAAACAACTTACCAGTTTTGCTCTTGACCAAGGAAAACGCACAAAAATCCCGGCACCTGACCCCAAACAGTGTTCACCGCATGGTGGATTGCCAAGCACTTCTCTTCTGGCCATGCTCAGGCGGACACTTATTCGCAAAACGTGAACCTCAAAAGTCTAGCGGCTACTACATATATATATATATATATAATATACATACGACAAAAGTGAGCCAGCGCTGCTGCACCAGCGCATGATCAGGACTTCTCGGCACGCATGCTGGTGTCTGAACAAAGGAGTCAGCTGATTGCACTCCCCAGTCATTTTCCAGGGTCCTTCATTGCAGCCACGGCAGTTCAGCACACAAGCTCGTCAAGTTGTTCTCCATGTTCAACGCACCCCATGAATCCGCAGAAAGTTCCTTCTTGAGACACTCACAATTCGCAAGGCGTCACAGCAAGAACTCCGTGTAAACTCGCGATGTTCAAAATTCGCCCACTGCAAGAACGGGGATGTTCGAAATCGCCCAAAGCAATAGCTTAAAAGCGTTCCGACAAAGCCCAACCCCAGAAATGTTGCCTACTCGGCACAGCAACAAGGCTTGCGCAGTTGCGCAAGCTAGTTCAAGGAACCTTGTGAGAGCCCCGCTGGACATGCCGGCGTGACGAGCGCTTTCAATCAAACCTTGCAGGGCCTTTCCTCTCACCCTCGCTTTCCCTACCCGATGTGCAACATGAAAGGAGCACGCCACGTGCAAAACCGGGGCGCAGGTGCGCTCGTAGCGGCGCAGGCTGTACCGCAGGTCGCGGATCACGCTGTAGTCCAGAACTGCGATGACCTGAGAGGTGCGTTTGAATACAGGAAAGCCTGCAAAAAGCTCACCCCGAAGATTAGAAACCCTTTGGCAAATCATGTTTCATGGGGCGGTGATTCTTCTTCTGGAGGTTCATGTCACCTTTGAGTCTTGAAACCTTCTCTCCCTCTCGTTCTCGAATGCCCGTTTGCCTTTCCTGCTACTGAGTTTAGTTTGGTGCCCTGGAAATTAAGAGCCGCTGTGTGGCATTGCGTGGCTGCCTCCCATCATTCACTAAAGCATGGCCAAGCCAGCGGGCGATGGTTTTGTTTTGTGCCAGGCAAGGGCTTGCTGCTGCTCTCTTTGGGAGTCAATCCCCGCTTGGACCAGGCAAGGCGCCGCCGATCCTGTGCACCCCTTGCATACGAGAGCAAGAATACGTGCAGTATCTTTCCGCCTCTTGGCAATCATGCACACTAAGGAAAACCCAGCGACCAAAAAAACAACTGTTTAGCCTGGTTCCGATTCCAATGTCCCCCCAATTTGACACCCTTTGCAAATCCCCCCCGAGAAGAACACAAACTGAGTCCACAATGGACAGTGGCTCGCTACCCTTGGGCATCCACAGGGGTCACAGCATCTCCGCTTCATACGCGGTGCCCAGCCAGCAGGTTGATTTCCACTGGCCATTCAAATGCCAATTGTCCAGATCCATGCAAGTTAGAAACCTTGCCAGTTGCATCAAGATTCAGCTAAAAAACAACTCAATGGGAAACACACGATTAGAAGAAAAGTTCTAATTAACGAGCAACAAGCGTCCCATTTTGGAGAGGCCCATTTTGGAGAGGCCCATTTTGGAGAGGATCCTTTTTTGTTTGGGGAACAACCCCCCTGAATCCTTTCGAGTCATTCACCCAAAGTCCACCATGTCTACCCACATTCTCGACACCCGCCTGCCATGGCAGCTCATCCTCGTCATCCTGGTTGGCATTCGCAGCACGGAGAATCAGGCGCTTTAAACCAGGGGTCCCGGATTTCCACCTGAAAGTTCACATTTACTGGTGAGTTCCTGTGAAAGTGCCACTTTTTGGCCGTCAAAGGGAAGTGAAGGACCCCCTGCAAGAAGGGGACCTGTAAAGAGGCTTGGCAATTAGTTGGGCAGCCCCTGTCTTAGTTGGGACCTCTGTCCTTCACCGGCTCCATGATCGTGCCAGCGTCCGGGTCCCACGGCAGCCGCTCGGATTCGGACTCGGCGTCCGACGCGGTGCCCTCCGAGCCATCCTCGGCCTCGTCGGCGGTCTCGAAATCCGCGGCGTCCTCCAAGCACTCGTGCCAGTACCTCAGCCCAAACCAGACCTTCGGACAAAACGGTTCAGTCAAAAGCCCCAAACACACTCCTCCGGCTTTTTTTTGCAAAAAAACAGGTCAGTGAAGCGGAACATTCCGGTCCAAACTGGACCTAGCCCTGGCCAGTTTAGGCATGCCGAAATGTCAGCACAAGGTTTGCTCAGTGAGGCACATCTGCGGCATCTTCTCACTTGACTTTTGGCTCGGCTCCCGGTGCAAATGCCACCAGCGTAATCCCGCGCCGGGGATGATGGTGTCACCCTTGTGCGCGAAACGCTCACGGCCCAGTTGGTCCACAAAGGTCCACTCGAACTTCTCCGTGTAGTAGTCATCCTCCAAAACTCAAAATCTGCTGGATTTTAAAAACATTGCTCAAGCTATGGGTCACAACTAAAAAATAGCTCTCGGACAAGGCCGCAGCTTGAAATTGAAACTTGGCATGACTTATCGCCTTCCCCAAACAACCAAAGTGTTTGCAACGGACATCGCTCGCGGCCCAAACCCGAAGGGCAAAGGGAAACCTGGAGCCTGGCGGCCAACGGCCGTTTCGACGATTCGCCTCCGACTCGCTGGAGAGCACCCCTTCCGGCAGGCGGGACCGGTTCAGCCGGCTGCGCTTGGGCTGCGGCGGGGCTTTCATCAACGCCATGACCTTTGCGAGACCCGCCCTCGCAGTTACATGCTCTAAGCAGAAACCCTGCCAAACACATGTTCGCATGAGGCGTTTGCCAAGGGTACTAGCACAGGGCCGCGATTGTGTAGAACCAAACGGAAGCAGGACTGCGAATGAAAGGCAAACGGAGGCGAACTTGTATGTCTTGTTTTCTGCGCGTGAGTTGTGGACAGAAGAAAAAGGAGAAAGCACGCACCACAGAGTAAGAAGGCAGTCTAAAAAGGCAAGTGGCAACTGAAAGGATGCTATGTCCAGTAAGAAACCCATGAGACCCAAAGAGAAACCACGAAACATCGCTGAGCCTCAGCGCCTTTTGGTTAAAGGGTCTGGGATGGTCTGGCACCCGGCCTGGGGAACGGCTGCAGGACCCCTCTTGGGGTAAAATTGCGATGGGCAAAACATGTGCGCCCTCTGCTGCTTTCTGCTAGGGCGGAGGCTGAGAGTTGGAACCCGCTTCATGTGGCCGTGGCTCAAAAAAGTGGCAACCCAGCTGTTGAATTTTGAGGCAAACCATGTGCCTTTTGAAACCCAAGGCCCTGACCAACTGCGCTCAAAACCTGCTGCCCGCCGGGGCGCCCATCCGCTGTTGTCATTCCGGTAGGCGATCTGCACCTTGCGACGGAGGTTCTTCAGCCCCTCCGAGCGCACCGCTGCATAGATCCCGTTCAGATCCTGGGGCCAACCGTTCCGAGGGGCTGCATGTGGCGGTTGCGAGGAGGCTTCGGGGATGCATGGAGCGGTTCTGAGAAGGGGTCCGGTTCGGAGGAGGGTTCCGACTTCTGAGGTGAAACTATTCGACTAGCAGTTATGATGCGATGACTGCTTTGTGAAATCAAAAGTCCTCAGGAATCCCTTCCTTCTTGCAAACAGTCAAACACCTCAGCATAGTCTCTAAATCAGTTGGTCAGGTAGTTGTCACAATGAAACAACAAGCATCATTTAGAGTTGACCTACCGCTGAGCAGATCTGGGCGGGCATGTTCTTCCGGGGTCAACATAAATCCTACTTGGGGCCCATGTTCCCGTCACCTCACACGTTCCCACAACAAGGCCTCCGAAAAGGAACATCTGACCTGCACCCCCACCAAAAAAAAAAGGAAGGCAGGCACTTAACATGAACCGCATGGACGCCTTTGCTTTTCGGCCTCGTCACCTTGGGTGCAACGTGCTGAACTTCGCAAGGGTGCTACTTCCGTGATGCGTGTGCAAGGCATGCGCATGGCTGTTGCTCACTGTGGTGTCAGACGTTTTGCGTGCCAAAGCAGGTCAAGATGCTGGCGGCCGCCTACCATCTCAGCAATTTTCCCTTGGGTGATTGTGTAATTGGGGGATCTTCTGCAAAACGATGATTGTGTTCACAGATTCTGTAATCATCTGCCTGACAAAAGAAAGAAATCCTGTATTGCCAGTATTCCCAGAAGTGCACGGCTGGAAAACTACAAAAACACTGAATCCCAACCCTCTACACTCAATGTTTTTTGCTGGACGCAAGGAGCAGTCAAACCTTGGTCCTACGTCTGTGTGGGTTCTCCTTTCGGGTTGTTCACAGCCCTCGCCAAGGGAGCCCAGATCTCGGCCCGGCGGGGGCCTCCAGGTTGGACCCCGCGATGAAGAAGCCTTTGGCCGGCTCCCGGACCGTCACGAAGCCCCGGCTCCTCTGCCGCGAGCCGCCCGAGTAGGGCGCCAGCGCATCCTGCCGCGCCAGGTGCATGGCGCAGATCCCGCAGAGCCCGCGGAGACCGGGGGGATCGGAAGAAGGCGCCGAAGGTTCGGGCGGCGAACGCGTCACATGCGTCACATGCACCCTTTCTTTCTACGTGGGCATGACTCGAAAACCACGCACTGTGACTCGAAAACCACGGACTGTGCTGTCCCAACGCGCTTCAAATGTTGCGTGAATCATGTCCCGATCTAATGAAAGGAAGACATGACTAGTGCTGAGCCTGACGCAGCCGTGCGTCGACCGTGGCGGTCCGTGATGAGCGCCACCCAAGAGGAATCCCAACAAACAGGCGCGGCGTGCTCTCCCTGAACGTGTTGGCCATTGTAGCCTGGATGCTGCCTGCCTTCAGAACTCCTTGTCTCTGCTACAGATGTGTGCAATTGCGGGAATGAGCATATGCCCAACAATTCCATTTACCAAACAGCCGGTGCAGGACATTCCCAGCCGAACATTCAAACTGACAACATCATGTCTGAAGAAAACACTGGAAAAGCAGAACACGGATGCCAACAGCCGCACCCCTGGCAAATTCCCGAGCCGCTCGAAAGCTGTGGCCCCCTTGCGCGAGGCGCCGCTGGAAAAGCGGTGGTGGTCCTCGCAGGCCTCTCAGAGAAGGCTCGCGTACCTTCCCCATTCTTTCCAGGGATCCTTCCTCCTAGAAAGCCTCCAAAAACCCGGTGGAAAAGAACGATGGTTGAAATGAATGGTTGGAATCAACCCCTAGATGTTTGTTGCAGTCTTAGTCGGTGGTCTAAAACGAAAGCCGACCAAAGATGCGATTTTGGAGCCTCCTTTCGGCGAAAAAGGGAATTCAACATGTTCAGGGTTGCCCCTTCGGCCAATTTGGTGCACATGCAAGTCAAGCATTTGCAGTGTGGCACATGTCCATATTTGCTTGAGGAAAGCCCCCTCTTAGGCCAGCTTGAAAAGAAACCAATTCTGTCTAGGAAGCCAGTTGCAAGGAAGCCAGTGTTTGGCAAATATCCTGTACACAAATGTTCCCATGAGGACTCCAAAAGGAAAGCATCAAAGTCGCCCCAGAGGAAATCCCTCTCCGTTTTCTGACTTCGCGCCAAAAGGACACCGTTAAAGTCACCACTAAAGTCACCCCTCAAGTGGTAAGCTTGGGGGGAAAATTTACAACAAAAAATTTGATAACCCCAAATGCAATCCGACCTAGGTGACCGACAGCAGGCTGAACGTGATATGTGTTGTTATGTTGTGTTTAAGCTGCGTCTTCCCGTTGTATGATGACATGTGCGTTCCGCATTTGCATGACAAAGTTGATTCAACCGTAGGGTTCCCTCGACATTGCACCAGTCAAGTTGCAACTGTCAGCACCAGAGGCCAAACGCAGGAACGCCTCATCCGCGCATTTCAGCGTTGGTAGTACCTGGCCCCCCCCCCAAAAAAAAAAAAACAGGTCAAAAGCATCCACAGCTATAGTAAGTAACAACCAGCTAGCAATTCACATACACTTGGAGGTTTCACAGAAGATGAGTGAGCCACAACCAGGGTTCCATGTGCACTCACTATGGCACACTATGCACATCGCTACAAGGAACACGATATTGAATTGGCGCACGATGTTCCCGGAACCCGTGTCAAACACGACATCGAAGTCCTGCAGGCCACACACACACACACAAACGCCGAACTGTTCACATAGCAGCACAACTTCATTCTTGAATGGTTTCCAAAAATTGAAAGACGCAAAAAAAAGCACACTTTTCAGAAGTCCGCACCGCCAGACTATGTTGAGATGCAAAGACTATGTTGAGATGCGTGCCCTACAGCAAGGCTAGTTTGCGAAGCACGTGAGCATCAAGGCTACGTTGACATGCGCCGTCCAGCCAGGCTGGGTTGAGATGCGCTGTGCAGCAATGCTGTGCTGAGACGCGCCGCGCCCCGCCCAGACGTACTCAGCGCGCTACCTTCGTAATTCAAAACAGCTGTTCTGCAAGAGCTGCCATAGCAACTGCCTTCGTGCCAGACTGCGCGAACACACTTCACTCGCTGCTTCGCGCCTACAAACAACGACTTTACGGCAGCCATGTACCTCGCATGCTACTTTCGCACACTCCTCGCCAAAGCTGCGCATTTTACGATTTGCTCATCCGACACATTGATTCAAGCAAAAGTGTCGTATCCGTCATACTTACCATCAATGCCATGGCGGCGATCCATGGCGGCGATTTTTGCTGAGGACATACATGGAAATGACGTCTGAAACATCTTGAGCCTGGCTTATGATGAGCTGTGCAGCAAGGCTGTGTTGAGATGCGCTGTGAAGCAAGACTATGTTGAGATGCGCTGTGAAACAAGGCAATGTTGAGAAGTTCTGTGCCGCAGAACTGGCACTTACCGCAACCAACAAAATCCGTGTCACTCCCGCATCCTATTCAGAATCACTGCCATCTGGCATAAACACTACTACCACAAAGTGTGAGTTTCTGAATACCCGGACAAACCGCAATTTTTAGGATCTCCCGGTCTCCCTAGTTTGATGCAAACTCATGTCAACAAGGTGGCAACCTATCATCAACGCAGAAACAAACGCAGAGCAAATCACGAGCAGCCGGCTCCTGTGGCGGCGTGCCCATGGAGATGGAGCCAAAGTACTCGCTCACGCGCAACCTGGTGGCACAGGCAGCGCCACAGTCCCGGCCGGCACGCCGGATTTGGCTCCTACGACGTCTGCCTATACACCTGTTCGTATGTGCACAGACAAATATATAATTACATTTCATACACATGACATGCAAGCATAAGCACATGTGAAACACCTACCCGTCTGGACACGGCCTTGATGGAAGACATGCCTTGGGCCACGAGCTTAGGAGAGGCCCGAAGCTCGCGGGAGTGTCCGGAAGGAAGTGGCGCCAGGGGCGATGGTGAACGATATTGAACGATTCTTTGGGGGAGGTAGCGGGGTCACCACTAAACGTTCGCAAAGATCTGGGAACTCGGCGATCTGCAGAGGTTGAGTCCTTCAAATGCAGGACTGGCCAACTTGCGTGCCACTCGGGCATCCAAGATGTAAGAGCCGTCCCTTGCCAAGCACGAGTGCGCACTGCCTTGTGGGCTTCGTGGGCACGTGTGCGGAGAAGTTTCGGAAATTACTCCATGATTGTTGCGAAGCAACTGAATAATTTTGCAATTCAAGCAGCACAAGCTGCAGGGTAACAACCTGCGTGCCGGGTTCAAGCAACCTGGCTAGTGTCTTTTTGTTGGTGATTTAGGATACGTGACATCAAGATGTTGCCTGCGCCGTCAGGAATCTTTGTCGCGGCAAACCTCGCAAAACCTCTGAGCGCAAAGCGGCAGGTGGCCCGTCCCATCGTGCGTTGGCCGCTCATACAAGGACACGTACCTCGCTGAAGTGAGCTCTAGAGATAAAAAGACAAAGAGCGAAAGGCGAAAACAACACATGTTGCGGGCGTTCGGCAAACTTCCTTGAGATTTTCCAAAGTTTTGTCCCTGGAACCATTGCACTCTTATCTTTGCTTATGCCCATGGGATTGGTTTGGGAGTTTGTCAGCCGCTCTCTTGTTCTCGCTTTTGATGGGTGTCGCGGAGGCAACTCGCTAAGTTGCTGAACAATATGGCCATCTTCCCATCACTCATCGTCCCCGACAGCCGGCCACTCCAATAGTGGGTTCAACGGTCCCTGAGGCTTCATTCTCTGGTGAGCACACTGCGTAGGTCACTCCTGCAAAGGGACCGTCAAAGTAGTCTGCGGAGCCAACTCGTCAGCCAAACGTCCAGGCGACAGCCTTGGCAGCCGAGGGAGCCACAAGCCGAAGGGCACGTGAAATAAACCCACACTTGGTGGCTCTTTCTGAAACTAAATCAAAGTATTCCAAGAAGGGCACACGTTGAACCGCACCCATCTGAACACGCTCCACAAAAACGCTGAACGACCGAACTTGCCAGGTGTCACCAACTCTGCTTGCACTTGCAATTTGCTGGCCCTCTTCAGGCCGTTTCAGGCCAGTGGCGCCGCCCCGCACCAGGCGAACACTGCGCATGCAGACCTTGGTAATCCCCGATGCAAATTCCGCCTTTGCCGCGAATGGCATCTCGCATCTCACAACATGACACCCAATTGCCTCAAAAAGGACCCTCCCGGGCAGCGCCGAAAATCAGACGCCCCAAGCAAATCAACCTCTTCACGCTTCTTGAAAGGGAAAACCAACAGGCGAGCCCCCTGTTTTGACACATACCACGTCAACGTTTGGCTCAGCACCTGGCCTTCGCGCCATCTCCTGAACAAACATCAATCCATATCCAAAACCTCTTGCCAAAGTACACTGGCACTGCTTACTAAGGACAACCTTTCAAGAGACTTCATCTGCAGTGCGCCTTGCCTAGCGCTCGCTTTGGCATTGCGCCATTGCCAGCTCACATTGCCTCTTCGCGCTTTCGCGCGCACGGCCAAACAAAACTTGTGTCACAAAATATGCTGGATTGCGAACCGGGTTGTGAACAGCTTTGACAACCGTTGCTGCTATGTTTTGCGGCAGTGCAACGCAATCTTGGCATGATTTCCTACGGAAACATGAAGTTGTCATGTGTTCATTGTGTCAATCTGCGTATGTGTGTAAAGTTGCTGACAAAGTGCGGGACAGGCCATTCGCATCCAAAGACTGTAAAATGAACTTGGTGCACCACTCACTTCCCCTCACAATGACCAATGGGTGCGCAAGAGCGGCCCCGGTGCACACGCAAAGCAGTACACAAAACATGCACGTTCAGGCTACCGACCCACCTTTTAGATCCGATTACATTAGTAGTAGCCGAGCGTCATACCACCAGGAGCGACACAAAAGAAAGAGAGAAGGAACAAATGCCCAACAGGTCCGGAGAAGCGGATGGCAGTTTTAGGTGACAGTTCAAAAAAAGGGAGTCGGATCCATTGGCCAGCACAATGAGATGAGAGCGTAAATGAGAAAGTGAGACTGTTTCCAAAGAATGACACAGCTGAAACCACAGACCATGCAGCGACGGGAGAAACACCGTCAGCTGCACATGGACAAAGGAAGGGAAAACGCAAACGCTGTACCAAAAGGGCTCGAGACCTGAGACGGGCTTGGTTTGAGGCAAGCGCCGCTGCCCTGGCAGTTCCGAAGCTGGCTGCCAAACAAATTTCCCAAGTTTCGTAAAAATTGCAGAAGGAAACGAAGATGGGCTGAACCTTTTCAGCTGGGCGATAGGCGCCCTGCCCAGAGCATCAAGGACCGGCTTGCGCAGAAGCCTTCCCGAGTCCCCGAGGGTTTCGAGTTCGGATGGTACCGCACCAGCACGCTGGTCCACGCCATCCAAGCCCCGGTCGAACAAGGGACGTGCTCCCCTTGCGGGGGTAGTCGTGGCGTGCTTCCCGCCTGCTGTCTCCTCTTCCTCGCCTCCTTCGGCGATGCCTGTTTCCGGTGGGGTTTCGGGGTACTCATGGCTTCGTGCGGGCAAAAAGGTGCGTGGAAAAGCGATCTGCGACAGTTGGCGCTTCACGCGCGCGCACTTTTTTTTTTTTTTTTTTTTGGGGGGGGGGGTGGATTTTTTCTTGTGGGTGCCATGTGGCGCATTGTCTTGTCTTGGAACGTTTTGAAGATCACTGAGCTCCCCCATTCCCTCCGCTTGCAACACGCGATGGGGCTGGCCTTCACTGTCGTGCCACACGTACAATGACCCAGACCACATGCGGGCGTAAGGAAGCAACCAGCACGCACCCGGCACGTCACGGAGTGCCTGAAGCATGGCCTCCCTGCTCACGTGATAGGCCATCAACAAACAGGATGGTTGTGATTGGAGACAGGCGCGCCTTTTTGGTCCACGTCCGAGCCAGCTTTTGGCTGCAAACCAACTGGCTCTCGCAGGTCTGCTGCGCCTGCGAAAGCCGAGTTGCTGAGCCAGCGCCCTCCGTAACGGAGAAGTCGCCGAGTCGGCAAGATCAGATCCTCTGCTCTTGGGCTCTGTGCAAACCCTCTCCCCATCTCCCCAAGGCTGGCTACAGCGGGAGCCCTGGGTTTGGAGAGCAGCTTCGCGTGAAGAGTCGGGTCATCACAATGCGCCCTCCAAGCAAACAGCACAAGTGGATGACGAGCCCTGATTCCCCAAACGAATCTCGCCAAACCAGACACCCCATTGACAGTGGCTTAAAACCTATATGACTCAGACCTCCCTTCAGTGCCCGGGCAACTTTATCCATAGCTGGCAGCCGGGACACGCGGGGCATGGCTTCTGTTCGCGCGAGGGCTCGTTTCAAACGTGGCTTGCTTGGCCCTGCCCCCGACCACATGCCAGGAGCGGAGCAAAGCAAGAGCTGAACAACCGCCAGTTGCGACATCTGCTTCTGGAAGGGTTGGTGAATAATCTGGACGGCGATCAAAGCATTTTGACCTCATTTCTCAACGACGCCTTGGCGCCACTCCGAGCCGACGGGAGTTTGGCCACGGGACTTGCCCGGACCGGACACAGCTCACGGAGCTCCTCTGGAGCAAAGCTTGACTCGTAGAGGGGCTGGTGAAAAGTCAGGCGGAAAACTGTGTTTGCGGTGGCGAAAGGAAATCGAACTGGGGGTATGTATAAGTCTGGTTGGGGAAGCCTTTGAGGAGTTCCTTCGGTGCTGCGCGACCCAAGAAGGGTATCAACCATTCAAACTAACACACAGAGTCTGCGGACCGTTGAACATGTTTGAAACGCAAAGGAACACTGCAATCATTTGTCGTAAAGCCTATGACTCCCTCACATCCCTTCACAAGCTTCTTGGCGTGGCCAGCCCTCTCCATATTCTTATGGCCTATCCGCTTGGGCCGTTCGGTTCATTCGACCCGAGCGACCCACTGATCCAAATCCTTGGGAGTAATACCCTCCAAAATGGTCGATGGGCATGAACCCTCTTGTAGCTGACGGCCATCCAAGGGTCTCCAATTTGAAAATACCCACTCACGCTAACAGTAACCGCCCAGCAGTCGCATTGCCTTGTTGAATTGCTTGTGGCGCGACTGGCAAGCCATGCGGGCAGCAGGAATTATAAAAAAAAAAAGACAGCTCATCCAGCAGCGCGGGGAGGGGACGGGAGGGGAGGGGAGAGAGGGAGAGAGGGAGAGAGGGAGCGAGGGAGAATGGGAGAGAGGGAGGGAGAGTGGGAGAGTGGGAGAGTGGGAGAGAGGGAGAGAGGGAGAGAGGGAGAGAGGGAGAGAGGGAGAGAGGGAGAGAGGGAGAGAGGAGAGAGGGAGAGAGAGGGAGAGGGAGAGGGAGAG